GGGACCACCATCAATCAATTAATTATTCTGCGACCGGGTCCAAAGGCAGAATGGGGTTCTGAGGAGAGCCATTAGAATTGTAGAAACCAAGCTAGAACAATGATGAACCATGCTTCACTTCATTGCCTGAAGTTTATGATGAATCTCTGTGGCCCTTCGGCAGTCTCTCATGCAGCTCACCTTTACAACCAAACCCGAACTCAGTTACTTGGCATTGCTCCCACTTGAGATTATTTTCCAGCAACTGTCATGATGGTCAATTCATCAGAAATGCCCTCCAATGGGGATGCCCTGCATATGTTTGGAACCCCGGCTTACAGTGAAGGAGAAAGATTCCAAAATGGCAACCCAGGTCCAGGAGAGGACAAAATGTTGGCACCTCACCTGTCCAATTCAAAAAATATTGGTTGATCCGCAACCTTAAACCGGATTACCTTTCCCCACAGTACCATCTTGTCTATGATGATTGGTTGAGACAGTTTACTCTTCAGAAGATCAACCACCTCTAGAGTGGGCCAACATGTGCATCTTACCAACGCTTCGAGACCCTATTTGATGAGGGACACTCCACCTCCCTTAGCAGACGAGTGGCTTATTCCAGAGGAAAAGGCCATAAACAAGCACCGATCTCATCTACAGAAGATTCGACTGGGAGATGAAAGTTAATGGCGAGGATGACAAGAGACAAGTTAAAAGGTATGATTCTTACATATTTCAAGCTCCGTCTCCAGCAAGCCCAGGTTTCACACAGCGGAGATTCCAGATCGTTCTGCCACCACCTTCAGACTCAAAATTTTAACCTCTACTTGGGACAGGGAGCCTCCACACATCAGCACTCCCACACCTTATTCCACATCGAGCCAATCCATGCCCCTCGTCGTAATCCAGTAGACAGCCCACAGAAGAAGCCTGAGACTCTGAACCATGGACCCCAAATGAAGCAATATGCGCGTCCTTCTCCCTGTTGAGCTATGCTTTAGCTTTGACCTTTGGATTACTCCAATTTCTTGGGACATGTATGCAATCTCAGGTGAATGTTTATTCACCTTTGACCAACATACCAGGATCATTTCATCCTGGCATTCTTCTAAAGCCCAACTGGCTCTCCAGGCCAAAGCTTTCCAAGACCCTGATCTCCATCTCTGTGCTGAAGGATCGTCTGATGGGACCACATCAGACCATTTCTGGGCGAGCAATGGACAAGAAATTGCACAGCCTTGAAGGCAAAGGACTTGACACATCGTACAGCACTTCTTCTATGCCCTCACACTAAAGGCGGGTCCTGGAACTGCATGAGTTCACAAGAATTAAGAGGTTAACAGACGTACAATTAAATAATTTCAAATCTAGTTGGTGTTCTCAGAGGTGACCTTCAGTCAAGAAGGGTGTCGCGTACTCTCCACTTGTTGGTTGGCCACTGTTAGAGCCGTCTTCTTTTTGCAGCTGCACATTGATGGGATCGAGACAAGTTTGATTTTACTCTTCCTTTCGTCAAAGCCCTCACTGTTCGGTTTTTATTTTTTTCTTTTTTTTTTTTTTTTTTTTCAAGGGCCACTTGTAACCCAATGGGTAAATTGCCTCAGTACTTTCGACCCAAAGATTATGAATGACAAGGACTGTGTTTTGAAACTTGACAAGTCATCTATGGACAGACCATTCACCTAAATTATTTATGAGCATCTATGTCGCGGATGATCACAACTTGGTTTCGAAACTCGGCAGCAGACCCATGTTTGTTTATTCATAAGGAGCATCAACCATGGTATTAAATTATTGTATGACCAAATCTGGCTCAGTCCAGACAATGATCTGATTGAGTCCTATTTGGGCAGCTCCAGAAACTTGGATATGACCTCACCATGAAGAAAAGGTGACATCTTTGGATTCCTCCGGCATTAATTTTGAAAGACAGGAGACAATGCTTGAGCTCACTCAAAAGGGCTCATTAATAAAGTCATCGAATATATGGTATGTTGACGCTAGCAAGAAGCTTTCTCCTCCGCCACCGATCCTCTCGGAGCTGACAAACTGGGGGCCCCATTTGAAGAAGAGTGGAGCTATCCACTGCAGTTGGGATGCTCTTTATATTGCGTCGAACACTCGCCCAGACATCACTTTAGTGTGCACCAGGTGGCACGATTCAGTCACAATCCCAGGCATTCCCATGCTCAAGCAATCAAACGTATCATTCGGTATCTGATTGGCACAAGTGACAAGGCATTTGTTTTAGCCCTAAACTTGATAGGGACTTGATGTTGGTCGATTCTGACTTCGCCGGGATTGTATGGATATGAGGATGACAGGATCCTGTGTCCGTAAGTCTCGCACTGGATTTGTCTTGACTTTGTTTGGGTGCCCTATCATCTGGTCCAGCAAGCTACGACTGACATTACTTTGAGCTCACTGCTGCTGAGTATGTTGCCTTCAGCATGTCAATGAGGGAGCTGCTTCCTATGCGAGCTTTGCTCAAAGAAATTGGTAGCAAACTGAATATGCCGGTAATTACTGACAGTCTCGTGCGCTCTACAGTGTCGAAGACAACAAGGCTGCTTGTCTCTTGTAATGTTCCCAAAATGTCTGCGCGCAACAAGTATTTGGCATTGAAGTACACTTCTTCAGGTCCAATATCGGGAGTCGAAGGGCATCGTGGCCAAGTATATTCCGACTCTGAACAACGGGCCGACATTTTCACTAAGGGTCTTCCGCTCCACAGTTTGCTGTCATTCGGAAGCTCCTCATGGGATGGTAATTTACCTCAGCACTTTGCTGGGGACTCTCTCCTATCGTTTCTTGCTCCAGCTTCATTTCAGCTGTAAGGAGTGCGACGGGATACAGCTTACAATTCAGCTTTACAGCTTTACAATTAGCAGGCTTATTCTAGAAAATAATCAATAACTGCTCACTTATTTGGAAATACAAAACTTTACATCTCTTAGATCTTTAACTAGTCAATGCACAATGGTATTGTCGCATCTTTGGCGGATTCAAACCAAAGAAGTCGGAAATATCTGCTTTGTACAGGGACTCACTTCGAAGAATGCCACTTGTAAGATATAGAAGACAGGCCCTGTGGCGTAAGTAGGTTGCTAGTGATCTGTACGCGGTGCAATGACTGTCGTTCCAAAAGCGCTGTTCGATTTCTGGGTATTTGTCGACTATCTGATAAGGCGCGAAGGTACCGTCCATCTTCTCCGCATAGCTGGCTTTCTTCAATGCTGGGGCTCTTTCTTTTACATGGAGATGGAGGTTCTTCAGATCTTGTGTCCAAATGAATTCCCACGCAACGTTGCAGACACCCAATCCAACTTGATCAGTGTGCATGTTTTTCATCACTGACTTGTATTGATTGAAGGATTGCTCGCCAAGAGGTTTGGTGGGAGTAGGGTATTGTAGCTCTGGATTCGCCGCATCAAAGAAGATGCCACACACTTTCATGTAGTCTGCTTGGTCAAACTTGACTCCTTCAGTCCTCCTCTGCTTGTTCCCTCCTCTTGGCTTTTGCTCACGAAATGCTTGATAGAACATAAATCGTAGACACTTCTCCCATGTAATGTTGTACTTGAACTGATCCGTGGAGTAGTTCAGATCACAGAAACTCTCGAACTCCTGAATCTTTGGGTTGTAGGCATCCTTGGTGCCATCTGGGACAATAGTTTTCCTGGTGTCCTTCACAAAAGTTGCCATGCGAGTTGTTGCTATGGATTCGTTTGCATTCCTCAACAAGAGACCTCTGGTGGCCGGTGCCGCGGCCCTGGGAGGGTTGGCTGCTGCTTGGGCTGCTGCTGCAGCAGCACTGGCTGGTGTTGCTGTCGCCCTATACTGCGGCATGGTGGACTTTGTCTTTGTTTGTGCTTATTATCTCCGGTTTTGGTGGAGCTACTACTACCAGTCGATAGAGTTGGATGGAAAGAGCGTTCTAGGGGTGTCGGCCCGCTTTACTGCTAACCTAAAAAAATCTCGAAGCAGACGTGCTTGGATGGCTGGCTAAAATGGCGCATCAGTTAAATCTCTGAATGTTAACCCTAAGTCTGCCGCCCAAAATATCGAGTGATATTTCGCGCAGGTCGCGCGAAATACGAGCTTTCCCAAAAGTCAGATTTTTAGGAGCCAGCCATAACATGGGCTCACGGTTTTAGGACCGACCATAAGAACAGATCCACTCTGTGGAGCAACGGCATAGCATGGAGAGCTGCTATTCCCAGCCAACTAGTACAGCATCATTGAAAATTTGTGGCCAGTTCTGTTTAAAAGATGAGGTCGAAAACAGTTAGGGAACTAGCGCATCTCTCATTGCATATGCAGCAGTCTCCGAGACTTGTCGTGCATGCCCAGCTACGTCGATTGGGACACCCAGCAATTACTATAAGATAAATACATCACAATCGGCCCTCATTCAAGCTCAGAGTAGTGGAGGCCATTTTAATCTAAGTAAGCAGAGGTCAGGAACATCTTGGGAGATATCGTACCGGTATCTCTCGATCGTTGCGTACTGCAGTTTCCGAGACAAACCCCAAGCCAATTTATCCCAAGGTTGCCACTGAAACCCTAGTGGGGCAGGCAGTAGTCGGCAGCATCACCATCGCAACACAGAGTGCAACAAGAGCACTCTACCAAGGGATCACCTGTGCCGCCCCTTGGCAAACAGTCAGCTGCCACTTCAAATGTGCCCTTTGTGGGGTCCGCCAAAGCACACACAGATGATGGAATGGAACCAGAAAGGTCATTCCCGTTTACGCTAAACTGATGTAGCTTTATCAGAACAGAAAGCTGTGCTGGGATGGTGCCATGGAACTTGTTGTTGGAAATGTCAAAGGTGTATAGCTTTGACAAAAGCTGCAGTCCAGCGCTTATTGTCCCAGTAAAGCCACAGTTGGAGACCCGAAGTGAAACCAAGTTGGTACACTCTGTAAAGAGTTCCTCTGGTAGGGAGCCATCCATATTGGTCCAACTGATATCAAGGTGTTTGAGAGAGCCTTTCAGGAGTCCTATTTCGGATGGGATGGTTCCGTGCAAAGGGTTCCCTTGAAAAGCGAGGATGACTCCATTAAGCCCATGCAATGCTCCAGTTTCAGTCGGTAGAGTTCCTGTAAGCTACAAAGCAGGGAAATGGAAAGGGTGAGCTGTCAATCACATTAGGGTCTTGACCAAAAGTTGGAAGGTCACTTGTGTTCTGTTTCCGAGCAATGTCGTCATACCATTGTCATTAAAACCAAAACTGGCAATTCTTTTGCCAACCTGAAAGAGCTCTGTAGGGATGGAACCTGACAAGCTGTTTGAATCAAATCGAAGCGAAGTCCCAGAAAAGAGTCCAACTTGTGTGGGCACTGTCCCTGTTAGTGAATTGTTGAAAAAAGATACGAAGGAGAGCTTGTTGTTTTCAAACAATTCCAATGGAATACTTCCTGTTAGTTGGTTTCCACGAAAGCTCAGTGATTCCAGTGCTGGAAGAATTACAAGTTCCGTGGGCAGAGGGCCGTTCAATCCGTTGTGCCCTGATAATGAAAGCAAGCTAAGGATAAGCACAGAGATCACATTTTGGTTCTTGTTGTGGTCAGCAAAACACAGAAAAGAACTCACAAAGCAGCAACTGAGTAATGCTTTTCTCTCCGTCACAAAAAATTCCCGCCCATTGACATTCGTGAACACCTGTGAGCCACCCACTTGCCAAGTTGGAAACGTCCATCGGAATCCAGCATGTATCATCTTTCTTTGCAGTTGTGGATGGCCCACAATTAATCCAATCGCTCTCTTGGGATGTTTGAAAGTAAGTCAATGACAAGATGAACCTCTGTAGAAGATTATTGGCATCTGTGCTGAGCTGCAGAGGATCCTCAAACACGATCCAATCAAGAGCCTTGAACTTTGGCTGGGTGGGTTCCGGCTCATCAGTTTTCATAAAATAGTCAGGCCCAAAAGCCTCTTCTATTCTGTTTTGAATATCCTCCAAAACAGAATATCGAATTGAAGTGGGAGCCTGAGTCTTCACATCACCTTCTTGGTTGCTGCAGAGACCAGCCCCACAGATGGAACCAACAACAATTCCAATAATGAGAATACCACCAATGAGAACAAGGATCATGGGAGTCATTGAGGTTGATCCATTTTTCCCGTGCAAATTGTCGGGTCGAGCAATCTGTGTAGGTTCCACATGTTCTTCTACTTGGGTGGCCACAGCCAATCCACTGTTGTTGTCAGTGGGAGTGGTGGCTTGGTCATCTGCTGTACTTTGATTCCTTGCGTTTATGTTTGAAGTAAGGTCTTCAACATGAGCAGAAGAAGTAGCCCCCACCAACGAACGACTGAGTGTTGTTGTTCTCTGGAGATCAGTCCCGGGAACCGATGTATACGCTCCTGGGTGCATGGCAGCTTCATCTGACAGATTTTGCCCACGAGTCAACCTTGGTTGTGGAAAAGAAGAAGGCCCGTCCACTCGTAAACCAGCTTCTTCTTGTTCTTTCGTTTCCTCTCCCGTGGAGTTGTCGCCTGTTGCGCTCGGACGGTCATCGAGACCAGCATCTGCTGACGCAGTTTTGCTGTTCACTTGATGAAGACTCTTTATTTGCTCATGTACTGCCGGTATCTTCGATACAATGGCATCCTTTTCTTCTTTTATGGTTTCCTCTCCCATGGAGTTGTCACCTGTTGTGTTGGGATGATATTGTGATGACTGGAATGACCTCCCCATTTCCACTTTCTTCGATTGCTCATATTCTCCCTGTTTTGCTTCCGATTCCAACTCTCTGAGCTCTGCCCCAGCATTGTCCCCTCGGCTTCCGGCAGCCACAACACTGCTATCTATTATCTCTTCCTCATCATCCACTTGGACTGCAGAGGGTTCCATTTTTGCCCAACCATACATTCGGGGTACAATGTACAATGGCAAAAGATAGATGGCGCCAATGGCGGGAGGAGAATCCTCACAGTTCGGCTCGGAAAGGTTGGCCTCTAAATCTTTCAATGGTCTCCACATGTGACGATTGGGAACCGGGAGTACGGTACAGCGTGCCGGTACTTACCGTAAAAGCAGAGAGTTAAGGAGCCAGGGGGGCTGCGGTGAAAGCTCTGCTAGTAGACTACTAGCTAGCTAGCAGGCAGAGCAGGAGCGTTCCTCAGTCGTGCCTGTATCTTAAATCCACCTCTAAAATAGGGGCGTTTCGGGGAATCTGCCCCTAAATACGACAAAACATAGGGGCGGTTTCCAAACCTGCCCCTAAATCGCCAAAACGCCCCTATTTTAGGGGCGGATTCCCGAAACTGCCCCTAATAATTAGGGGCGTTTTCCAAACCTGCCCCTAAAATAGGGGCGTTTTCAATGTATTTACCATTCAGTCCCGTTTTCAATTTAAGGGGCAGTTCCCAAACCTGCCCCAAAATCGCCAAAACGCCCCTATTTTAGGGGCAGATTCCCGAAACCGCCCCTATTAATTAGGGGCGTTTTCGAAACCCGCCCCTAAAGAGGAAACGCCCCTAATGCTTAAAATCCGCCCCTATTTTTCAGATTTAACGGGACACACGATTGAGGAACGCTCCAGGGCACCGGTGATGGGGAATCACGAAGACAGAGGACCGATTAGTCATGTTTACTATAGAAAATACAGTACTATACTACCCCTGTACCGGTACAGATCCTACACGGCTACGACACACATACCACACGCTCCGTACGTAGCGTGTGGTAGGCATTGTACACGGCTACCACACGCTACGTACGTACCGTGTGGTACAAATCCTACACGAACCACGACTGACGTCACGGCGACTGACGTCATTCGATTCGCGCACCTCGCGCGATCGAATCGATACACCCCCATTTTTAAGATAACGGCTTCCCACCCTTGTTTTAAGATACTTTGAAAGGGTATGTACCATACCTACACGTACTTGTACATAATCCCCTCTGAGCGCATTTGACTTGTGACTTTTTACGGGTACCACAACTCAAAACATGTGCAACTAGATGCTCTTGCCGAGACTAGCTTAACCCTCCTCCTTCTCCCCTCTGGAGCCCCTTCAACTAATCACTTTTACGGGTACCCGACCAGGCACAGGCAGTACTAGCTAGTAGGGAGCTTCTACAAGCCACTCGTACTAACGCAGCTCGGAGCCAGAATGACATCTCATTGTATTGCTCTGGATAGCTGCTGGGCGGGAGCAGCTCGGGTTGCACAAAGAAATGCACAAAACCAATACACATAGTTAGGGTTACGAGACAATCGACATCTCGAGTCCATTCCCATGCACACATAGTCCACTCTAACCACATATAATTTCACCATCAATTACATATTTCAACACTACTTTACCCGAGTACATGAAATAAATAGCACATGCAGCAAACGCACAGTTTACTTCTGGGCGGCGTTTGTTGGCTTGAGCTTGACATTCCATGGCGCTTGCCGAGGTTGCTCGTCATCCCCCCGTTCCGATGAATCACCCGCGTCATCATTCCCGTGAATGTCCCTGAGGCTTTGCTGCAGCTTTTGTGCACGGAGCATCCACGATGGTTTTCCCGCCCTATCGTCCGTACCCGTGACGGAATTTTGAGGTGACGATCGAAAGGTAGCTCCACTGGGTCGTCGAGGTTGCGGCGTGGACTTCAAGTTCCGTTTGGAACGTTGCATATCCTCGGTCCCAACCGCAGCTTTCATTCCTCGAATGTCCGGTTTCAACTTGTGTTTCTCCTGTACAACATTGTGCTTCAGTTCGTCCTTTGAAACCGAAAAGGAAGGTCTTTTGACTGGCAGCTTCTTGTCGAGTTTGTCCTGTACGACATTGTGCTTCAGTTCGTCCTTGGAAACCGTAAAGGAAGGTTTGCGCACCGGAAGTTTCCGGCCAAGCTTTTCCTGCACTTGCGACGATTTCAATTCTTCTACAGAAATGCGTGGCTTGTTGTTGTTGTTGTCGCTCTCGTCGTCTTCTTGCTTTTCCAAATTTCGAATACTCGTTCGGCGCAACACTTGTTGCGCCCATGCCGGCTTATTATTATTATTGGATGGCTCGGCCTTTTCGTCGTCAGTATTGCCAAAGTCTCGCGAACTTTTTCGTTGCTGCAGTAGCATCGCGCGTTGTTGCACCCACGCGGGCTTGGTCTCGGAAAGTCTCTTCTTCATGGATTCAATTTCCGTGCCCCGCGGTGCTTGACTCTGGAGACTCTTCAAGTCGGGCTTTTGTGACAACTTTTCCTGGACGACATTGACCTGCAATTCCTTTTTGGAGACACGGAAGGATGGCTCTTTCATGACAGGTCTGTTTTTGAGCTTTTCTTGTGGCTTGGATGTTTCGAGCTCCTTTTTGGTGACAGAGAAGGATGGTTTTCTTATGATTGGCTTGTTCTTGAGTTTTTCTTGAGGCTTGGACGATTCCAGTTCTTTCTTGGTAACTTTGAACGATGGTGATTTAAGCGCAGACTTGCTCTTGAGTTTTTTCTGCGGTGTGGATGTTTCCAGTTCCTTTTTGGAGACGGTGAAAGATGGTTTTCGGATGATAGTCTTGCTCTTGAGTTTCTCCTGTGGTTTTGAGGAATCCAATTCTTTCTTTGTGACAGAGAAGGAGGGCCGTTTGATGCTGGCTTTACTCTTGAGCTTTTTCTGTGGTGTGGAAGATTCCAGTTCCTTCTTGGTGACTTTGAACGATGGTTCCTTGATCGCTGTCTTCTTCTTGAGTTTTTTCTGCGGTGTGGAGGTTTCCAGTTCCTTTTTGGAGACTTTGAACGATGGCTCTTTGATTGCTGTCTTCTTCTTGAGCTTTTTCTGCGGTGTGGACGATTCAAGTTCTTTCTTGGATACTCGGAAGGACGGTTGCTTGATGGCAGGTTTGCTCTTGATGAGAGCCTGTACTTTGGACGTTTGCAACTGCTCTGGTTCGATCTTTGGTTGTTCTTTTTTCGTAGTAGATTTCTTCTTTTTGAGTTTGTTTTTCCACGGCGATACTGGCTGCGAATCGTTCGTGGCGGTGGTGTCCGACGTCTTCTTTTCGTTGTTAGCGGGACGGGAAGTTTTCTTGAGATTGGTCTTTTTCCAAGGAGCTTCAAAGGGCGGTTTGTCGGCGGTAATAATGGTACCAATTACGGGCTGCTTTCGAGGGACGTATCCTTTTTTGGTGCTGGTTTGTGACGATTGTGGTACCCGAGGAGAGAGACTGAGATAGGCCAGTTTCTTGGGTTGTCGCGATGTTGTTATTTCGCCAGTCGTGACGGGGGAGAGTTGTTCCTGTGTTGTAATGGTCGTGCTGGCGGCGGTACTGATGCTGGCGCTGCGTGAGACGGCATCAGGCTTTTCCTCATCATCGTCAATGATTTCCTCTTCTTCCATGTCACTGTCGTAGTACTCCTCGTCCTCCACGACTTCTTCTTCCATCAAAGTCTCGTCGTCGCTGTCTTCGACAAGAATTTCTTCCATTTCTTCTTCCTCTTCTTCTAGCAAGTGGATTGAATCGTCGTCTTCTAGAATTTCTTCTTCTTCTAGTTCCTCCTCCTCCTCAATGACTTCTTCTTCTTCTTCGTCCTCCACAATGAGCTCTTCCTCTTCTACAACTTCCTCTTCTTCTTCATCAATAATAATTTCTTCTTCAATAATATACTCAATAACGTGCGATTTGATGGAATCCCGTACCACCAGTGCTTCCTGTTTGGGGGGCAACACTTGCGGATGCAACGCTTGTTGATGTTTTTCCTGGTGCACATGGGCGGCTTCCTTGACTTTGGACAATTCTTGTTTTTTGGGCAATCGTTTCGGTAATTTGTAGAGTTTGTAAATGTCGTCTTCATCTTCTTCTTCCTTTTCGGCCATTTTGGCCAGGAGTTCCAAAAGCCATGCCGGTTTGTTGTGGCTCGAGCGATGCCACGGCGGAATGTCCGTGCCATCATCGAGGGCTTCCAGTTCGGCCGCGTCGGCTTCTTTTTGTTGTTGCTGGAGTGCTTCTTCCTTTTGTTTGACTTTCGCTTGCTGCGATGCCTTGTTGTGTTGTTCTTGCGCGTGTTTTTCCGCATTTCGTTCGGCGATGCGTTGTTGACGGTTCTTCCAATCCGTCTGCGTGGCTTCTTCTTGCGCTACGGCATTCTGAAAGTCCAGTAAACTGCTGCGGCTTTCGTGTGGATTCCAGCCGTCATCTTCTTGTAACGACGAAAACGAGAAATTGAGAGACGAGTTGTAGTACGGATTATTCGAGGCGGATGGCATGATGATGGTAGTAGTAGTGATCATGGTCAATGGTCCACAGCCAAACTAATCTATCTAGACTATCTACTAAAAATGTAAAAATGATTGCTGAATCTTGTAGAGGATGAGGATGATGTGACGGGTGGTTCATGAGAATTCCGCCATCATCGGAACAAGATGGTGCTTCTTGCTTGCACCAACAACGTTCCTTGACGCGAGTGACAAGCATCTCGATAAGACTTATGGGCGTTCCCGCTGGCACTGTGACTGGATCAGAACAGTGTTAAACAAAATTGCCACTCATTCGTGGTACCGTTTTCAACATTTACGTGCAAGTAACAAAAGCACGAAGCAACACTAAACACTTTGGCTTGCCCACACTTCGGCTGCATGTCAACTACAATACCTTTACCGTCACGGTGCTAGATACCGTACCGGTCCGGTAGATAGACGATGGCAACCTGCGCGCTTCCCAGCTACAGCCAAGCTGCAAGATGGCGGTAGCTAAGACAACGAGCAAGCGGAGATGATTTACTTTTCTGATAGCCTTGATCCATGGCCTGTTGCGTAACGTCCACCTAGCTAGCTATATAGTGAGGTCAGAGAGCAGCTAATCCAGTTCACTGTTTCGCTCGGTACCGTCCAGTACGGAACTCGTTGGCATCGTCGTGTTGTCCAGGTCAAATTTATGATCAACAAATCCAAATCGGCACTTGCCATTTTTTATTGATTAATTAAAAATCGGAGGTCACAACAGTTTAGAAGCTAGCCTAGAATATCTCTCGTTGCATGCTGCACTCTCCTAAACAAACACTGGCTGAGCCAACACATATATATCACACGGTTGCTTATCACTAAAACCCTACTTGGACAGGCAGTAGTCAGCAGCATCACAATACAGGGTGCAACAAGAGCACTCTACCATGGGATCGCCTGTGCCATCCCTTGGCAAACAGTCAGCTGCCACTTCAAAATTGCCCTTGAGAGGGTCAGCCAAAGCACAGATAGATGACGGAATGGAACCTGAAAGGTCATTCCCATTCACAATAAACTGACTTAGTTTTGTCAAGGCAGAAAGCTGTGCTGGGATGGTGCCATGGAACTTGTTGTTGGCAATATCAAAGGTCCATAATTTTGTTAAAAGCTGCAGTCCAGTGCTTATGGTGCCAGCCAAGCCGCAGTTAGAGGCCCGAAAAGAAGCTAAGTTGGTACATTCTGTAAAGAGTTCCTCTGGTATGCTGCCATCCATATTAGTCCAACTGATATCAAGTTGACGGAGAGCGCCTTTCAATAGCCCTATTTCGGATGGGATGGTTCCGCGTAAAGGGTTCCCTTGCAAATTGATCATGATTTCAGGACCTAGTCCATGCAATGCTCCAATTTCAGTGGGTAGAGTTACTGTTAACAATGCTCCAATTTCAGTGGGTAGAGTTCCTGTAAGCTACAAAGCAAGGAAAGAGAAAGGGTGAGCCGCCAATCACAGTTCAGGGTCTTGATCAAAAGTTGAAGATCACTGACGTTCTTTTCCCAAGGAAAGGTTGTCATACCTTATTGTCATTCAACCATATAGAGCGATAGTCTCCTTTCTCAGTCCGAAAGATCTCTGTAGGAAGGGAACCGGATAAGCTGTTTGAATCAAATGTAAGCCAAGTCCCATCAAAGAGTCCAATTTCTGTGGGCACTGTGCCAGTTAGTGAATTTTCTTGCGAAATACAATGAGGAGAGTTTGCTGTTTCCAAACAATTCCACAGGAATACTTCAAGACAGTTGGTTTTAGCCTAGCCGCAGTAAAGAATGGGAAAGGAAGCTGCCATATATGCTTGGAACTGTGCCCGTCAGTTGGTTCCCCCTAAGGTCCATTTATTCCAGAGCTGGAAGACTTGCCAGTTCTGTGGGCAGAGGGCCGTTCAATCCATTGTCCCCTGATAATGAAAGCAAGCTAAGGGTAAGACAGGAATCATGCATTTTAACCCTTGATGTGGTCAGAAAGAGATACAAAAGAACTCACAAAGCTGCAACCGAGTAATGTTCTTCTCAGTGTCACAATCAATTCCTGTCCATTCACATTCATGAACACCTGTAAGCCACCTACTTCCCCATGATTCATACGCCCCGATTTGAATCCAGCATGTTTCATCGTTTGCAGTTGAAGATGGTCCACAGGCAAGCCAATCGCTCTCTTGGGATGTTTGAAAGTAAGTTAATGACAAGATGAACCTCTGTAGAAGATTGTTGGCATCTGGGTTGAGCTGCAGAGGATCCTCAAAAACGATCCAATCAAGAGCCTTGAACTTTGGCTGGGTGGGTGGGTTCCGGCTCATCGGTTTTCATAAAATAGTCAGGTCCAAAAGCTTCTTCGATTCTGTTTTGAATGTTCTTCGAAACAGAATATTGAGTCTCCAAATCACCTTCTTTATTGCTGCAGAAACCAGCCCCACAGACGGAACCACCAACAAATTCAATAATGAGAAGGCTACCAATGAGCACAAGGATCAGCAAAGATGGCGATGAAGCTCCATTGTCTTCCGAAGCTTTGTCAGGTCTAGCAGCTGGTCAAGCAATCTGTGTAGGTTCTTCGTATTCTTCTACTAGGTTGGCTACAGCCAATCCACTATTGTTGTCCGTGGGAGTGGTCGCTTGGTCAACAACTTTTGTAACATTAGAAATGCCATAGCCAGCATCTCTGGAATTACCAGAAAGTGCTGCAGGTACCCTGTTGGCTTCGATTTGATGGCTACCAAAATCCCCCGAAGGAAGAGACTCTAAAAATTCAGAGGCAAAGCTACCTTCAGGCTGAGATGTGGTTGTGATTTGATGATTGCTGCCATTGCTTTGACCTGTACTGGGCAGCACCATTGTGTTAGCTGTTCTGTTTGTTCCTCCTCTTGATATCTGATAGTTGCTTTCTCAGCTTGCAGTATACCCGAAGCAGAATTGACGGTGCTGGTTCGCCTGCGGCTGGTGTTGCTGGTAGAACCAGCCTGTACTGGTTGATCCACCTCAGCAATGCCACAATCTCCTTCCTTGTCGGTGGCTCTGCTCTTATCAGACGGCCCACTTCTTGGATATGCAATCTGTCGCTTTTTCATGTGCCAAAAGAGCACTGACATCTCTGGTTTCGTCAGTATTGACTTCCATTTGTTTCTCTCCGTGCATTGGTTGCTGCCCATTGGTGTTTACGGCAGGTGGAACGTAGGTCTGGCTGACTGATTTGCGACGTTTGGGATATGCAATGTTTCGTTTTTCTGCTGCCAACATGGCACTTCCAGTTGCGACTTTTTGAGCTATGGTGGCACCAGTGTTAGTAAACACGGGCATCGGATGATTCACCTCAGCAGCACCGCAACTTCCAATCTTGTCGGTGGCTCTGCTCTTATCAGATGGCCCACTTTTTGGATATGCAATGTGTCGTTTTCTTGTGCCAAGAGGGCACTCCCCTCTCCACTTTTGGCAGTATTAGCCACCATCTCTTTGTGGATCGGTTGCTGCTGCTCACTGATGTCTGCAGCTGGTGGAGTTTCGATCTGACCAACTGTTTTACGCTTTTTGGGATATGCAATGTTTCGTTTTTCCTCTGCCAACATTGCACTTTGCTTCATTGGCGACTTTATGAGCTGTAGTGGCACCAGTGGTAGTAGATGTAGGCAACAACGGATGATCCACATCAGCGACTTCGCTAGTGCTACCAGTACTGGAAGGACGGACGTTGGGAGCTTTGCCGGCACTGACGTCTTGCAATGGTACTTCCATTATTGCCGAGGATGATTGGAGTGGTGGTGTGCTAGAAAGGGATTTCTTGCTTTTTGGATTTGAACAGCTCTCTTGTTCCTGACCTGTATACTGGAAGCAGTATCAGTGGTCATGTGCTTGTCGAAGAGGTTGCTATGGCAATGTTATGGGTGTTCTATGATGGAGTTGTATGCTTGGTTGTGCCAAACCCAGTACCGGCACAGGGCACTATCAGAATTTATTTGAGAACCCCAGGCCCTTTTCACTCCTGACCCTTATTATACTGGAAGCAGAATCGAATGATTCAATCTCCAGACGCGTCATGTTCATGTTGAAGAGGTCGATCACTAAGGATGTTAGAAGGACGTCACTATGCATGGGCGTGGTACGCACGTGTATCATTCTGCAGTTTGAGTAATCTGCATGGAGGGTCAGAGGCACGCTCCTCTACAGTTTAGGGTTTAGAGTAATTTCTGTCCTCACGAAACGGGGCTGTTTATTGAAACTGATGTTTGTTTCACTCAAATGGACCCATTTCCGTGAAACTACCCATTTCGGCGAACACTGTGCTATACGGTAGTAGTTGCTCAAAACTTACACTTATAAATTTCCGGGAAACTACTACTTTGAGTCCCGGACCTTGTCAAAATAAATTTACAGCCAACACCACACACAACCTTCAACCACACCATCAGGCTTACTAGCTAGCTAGGCCAGTACCACTCCGCCAGGCTAATAGAGCAGCATGGCAAGGTTGAGACCTACGAGGCGAGTGCTGACTACGAGACGAAAGAGAAGAAGTGTGAATAGCTGCAGTGTCAAGGTGGTACTCTGGCTGGTGGTGAGAGCCTTGATCGGGATCTTTGCCTACTTTGTGATGATGCATGGGGCCACCACTTCTGCTACCGGTCCAACAACAGAGGACTTGATTGTCACTAAAACCCTACTGGGGCAGGCAGTAGTCAGCGGCATCACCATCACAGCACAGAGTGCAACAAGAGCACTCTACCGTGGGATCACCTGTGCCACCCCTTGGCAAACAGTCAGCTGTCACTTCAAAGTAATCCTTTCCGGGGTCAGCCAAAGCACAGACAGATGATGGAATCGAACCAGAAAGATCATTCCCATTCACAATAAACCGATGTAACTTTGTCAGAGCAGAAAGCTGTGCTGGGATGGTGCCATGGAACTTGTTGTTGGAAATGACAAAGGCATTTAGCTCTGTCAAAAGCTGCAGTCCAGTGCTAATGGTGCCAGTCAAGCCACAGTTGGAGACCTTCAGGAATTCCAAGTTGGTGCATTTTGTAAAGAGCTCCTCAGGTAGGGAGCCATCCATATGGGTCCCACTGATATCAAGTTCCCTGAGAGAGCCTTTCAGAAGCCCTATTTCAGATGGGATGGTTCCACTCAGGGGGTTCCCTTGCAAATAGACGATGAGGTGACCAAGCCCATGGGATGCAGCAATTTCAGTGGGTAGAGTTCCTGTAAGCTACAAAGCAGGCCAAGGGTGAGCTGCCAATCACAGTTAGTTTAGGCCTCTTGACCAAAAGCTGAAGATCACCGAGGTTCTGTTCTCGAGGAAGGGTTGTCATACCTCATTGTCATTAAAAAGCAAGATCCGGATACCTTTGCCAGCCCGAAAAACCTCTGTAGGGATGGAACCGGACAAGCCATTTGAACCAAAGTTAAGCGTACTCCCATCAAACAGTCCAACTTCTGTGGGCACTGTCCCTGTTAGTGAATTGTTTGCCAGAGATAAGGAGGAGAGGTTGTTTGCAAACAATTCCGCAGGAATACTTCCAGACAGTTGGCTGTGGCTGAGAACCAGTGAAGAAAGGGAACGGAAGCTGCCATAGATGCTTGGAATTGTTCCTGTCAGTTGATTCCCAATAAGGACTAGCCATTCCAGTGCTGGAAGACTGACAATCTCGGTGAACAAAGGACCATTCAATCCATTGTTCGCTGATAATGGAAGCAATCTAAGGATAAGTACAGGAAGCATGCAGTTTGGTTCTTCGTGTGGTCAGAAAAAGATACAAAAGAACTCACAAAGCTGCAACTGAGTAATGTTCTTCTCTCCGTCACAATAAATGCCTGCCCATTGACATTCATGAGCACCTGTGAGCCACCGACTCGACAATGATTCCGAACCCCCAATTTGAATCCAACATGTTTCAACATTTGCAGTTTTAGATCGCCCACAATCAAGCCAGTCACTCTCTTGGGATGTTTGAAAGTGAGTCAGCACCACAATGAACCTCTGTGGAAGATTGCTGGCATCTGGGTTGAGCTGCAGAGGATCCTCAAACACAATCCAATCCAGAGCCTTGAACTTTGGCTGGGTGGGTTCTGGCTCATCATTCTTGGGAAAATAGTCAGGTCCAAAAACCTCTTCGATTCTGTTTTGAATGTCCTCCAAAACAAAATATCGAAAGGAAGTGGGAGCCTGATTCTCCACATCACCCTCTTTGCTGCTACAGAGACCAGCCCCACAGATGGAACCAACAATCACTCCAATGATGAGAATGCTAACAACGAGAACAAGAATCATGACACTCATAGAGTTTGATTCATTTTCCCCATGCAAATGGTCAGGTCTTGCAATCTGTGCAGGTTCTTCATTATCTTCAACCCGGTTCGCCACTGCCAATCCATCAATATCATCCCTTGGAGTGGTGGCTTGGTCATCTGCCGTACTTTCATTGCTTGGGTTCCCAGGGGCCACTGCATACGCTCCTGGATGCATGGTAGCCACACCTGGCTGATTTTGTACACAAGTCAACCTTGGTTGCGGAAAAGCAAGCTCGTCCTCTGGACCAGCTTCTGCTGACGGAGTTTTGCTGGTAACTTGAGGATGATTCGTTATAAATATTTGATCTTGTACTACCTTCGACGTCGAGACATCATCTTCCTTTAGTTCTTCGGTGATTTCGTCTCCCACAAAGGTGTTGCCTGGTGTACTGGGATGGATTTCCTCTTGCTTTGATTGCTCGCCTTGTCTCTGTTGCATTTCCAGTTCAAACATTTCCAGCTTTCTGAGCTCCGCCTCTCTATTGTCCCCCTGGCTTCTGGCAGCCACAATATCCATCAACTCTGCTCCCTCATCATTGATTTGGGCCGCAGAAGGTTCCATCTTGGCCCAATGCCCAGCATATATTGCCGGGGTATATTGTGGGTTGTGGAGGCCTACTATTATCAGCTATCGCTACCGGTACTATTGCAAGGGGAAAACGGTGGCTGGCACCAAGGCGAGCTCGACGAGGCTCTGTGCAAACAGCCGCAATTTTGACAGCAATCCTGTAGCATCCTGAGAATTCTGCTGCAACCAATTGCGACTCGAGCAGCCCTTTAAATCTGCTGAGTATGCCACGATACCCGGATGCGGAGCTGTGAGCAGATCTTTTCGATCTTTCGACCAGATCTGTATTTATTTATTTATTGTTCGATCTCTTTCCACAGCAACACAAATATTTGTCTGCATGAAATGCCAGGCTACTATTAGAGCAGCATGGCAAGGTTGAGACCTACGAGGCGAGTGCTGACTACGAGACGAAAGAGAAGAAGTGTGAATAGCTGCAGTGTCAAGGTGGTACTATGGCTGGTGGTGGGAGTATGGATCGGGATCTTTGCCTACTTTTTGATGGTGCATGGCACCACCACTACTACTGCTACCAGTCCAACAACAATAAAGGATCAAAGCCAACAAGAACCACAAGACACGAGAAACCTCCGCGAAAATCAGAAACCAGGAGAGCTGCCTCTCCCAGTCCAGTCAAAGAAGAAGCCAAAAACGCCATCCCAAAAGAACGCTGACAACCCCCGATTTCTGGTATTTCTGGGAGACCAACTGGAAGGTCAAGGAGCTGGAAATCTCATGAATGGACTCTTGGCAGCGCATTTGCTGGGAGACGAATTTGGTCGCATTGTGTGTGTGACACACCAATATACTGGATTCCATCAAGCTTGGAAGGCCATCCATCCTGTCGCCGTCCGAATGTGTTCGACCATCATGATGGACAATTACAACCAGTATCCTCAACTCTTTCTGCTCAACTTTCACAAGACACCCGTCAACGAATGTTACGTCCAACAACTATTGGCATCTGACAAGGAACCCATTATTGCCCTACAGGGGAACACGTATCCTCGGTGGGCCCATGTCCCCCCCAAGTATTTCTTGCAATTCTATCAACCCAAACGCATCATGCTCGATGTGCTACCCTACAATCCAGACCGTCCACCTCGCACTGTGATTCATTTGCGAAAAGAAGACGCCCAAGGCGATGTCCGATATGGATTGGATGACACCACCCTGAAAACATTGGCCAAACTGTGTGCCCTGCAATTCCCAGAGGATAAACCCTACCTCATTACCAATCACGTGCCTTGGTTTGACGAGTTGGAAGAACGGTATGGATGGCGTCATCCCGATTGGCAAATGGTCACCCACTCGGCATCACAACAACAACAGAATTGGGGCAGTCGACATACCAAGCGTGGTAACGATGTCGATTTAAAACAGGAAGCCAACGATCGCAAACTCTACGGGGCACACGAGACACCGCAAGCGCAATTGGAGAATTTACAACTCTGGGCCGATTGGTACACTTTGTTACATGCCAAACGCGTCTTTCACACAGTGAGTGATTTCTCCACTTCGGCCGTGCATTGGATGGGTACTACAGCGAAGAAAGACGATGGTACCATCGAGTCGTATATTCTGGAAGGATTGCCGGGGCATGTCCAATTGAATCCGGAATATTTCCGACGAGAGGATCCGGCCATTCCATTGGTGGAGCGGACGGCAGATCAGTTGCAGCATTGTTATGGATGATGATGATGATGGTGAAGACGAGAGAAGAGGAATGCACATCCGATCCTGCCAGGAGTCTTTCCCAACAATTTGCACTTTCGACGATACGCTCCAACTTGCCAACAGAGTTGTGCCGTTGTGCCCCATGTGGATTCGTGGTCATCGTCACTACACTCCAACCTCAATTGCGATGACCGATCCGCTTTCCAGCCATTGTCAAGCGTTGCCATGAATCGAATCGAATCAATCCAATCATCAGGCTTTTTTCATGGATCCTGCTGCAATAGAAAACCAGCCACTCATTCATCGAGCATGAGTTATTTGAGAAACGACAACCAACGACAACAGATTCCGTCCATGCGCGTGGCACTACCGTATGGCCATGCAGGAGTAGACGCACGAGTTGGGGGAAATGTACGAGTACGGGAAAGACGCTGCTTTTTCGTTTGTCATTGGTTTGCTTTATCGTGGCGACAATAAGCAGCCAGGTACCGTACGGTAGGCAGGTTCATGTCATGGTCGCCTTTTCAAAAATGAAAGGGTGGGTTCTATCTAACAGTTTGATAGCTCTAGCTAGGTTCGTGCTTTCTTTTTCCCGTTTGAATTGTGATGCTAAATCAATACCTAGTCGTAGCCTGCTGTCAATTCGTTGCTGTTCAAAAGTTGTCGTTTGATATTTAATATGGGAATGACAGATATATGTGTCATTGGTTGGTTTCAGTATCAAGGATCCTCGAGGCAGGACGCAGTTCGGGGCTACAAGCCAAACCAAAACAGAATTGTTGCTTTGTCTGGCACTTGTTACCGCAAAGGGCGCACTTGTTGTACGCCTTGCATGTGTCATAGAAGTATCCATTGCAATCGTCGCAACAGGCTTCGAGATCTGCACCACAGTTTTGTTGGTCAGGACCACAGAACCATCGCGAACACGAATGAGAACCACAGCATGTCCATTCTGTCATAGCGGTACCGGTATGGGCACAGTCCAAACTGCACTTGACCTCACAGTTGAAGCACTCAGCAAAGCTTATATATCAACCAATGGAAGTTGTGACACGAAAGGCACCGCAACTTGCGAAACTCGGCCATGACACAATCCTCACACTCCAGAGCACCACTACATGTTGTAGTGTCATTGGCTTTGGTTTTGGTCAACCAATATGCCCCCTCCTGAGCTTTCTTTCGAAGATCTGCTTGCAGTTCAGTTCAAGCTTGTTGCCATGATCAGGACAGTAAAACTCAGACAGCTGAAAATGATCACGTAGCTCGATCACAGACGGCCAAGCAATTCCGAATACTCTTATTGGGATCTAAGAAACCAAGGATGTTTCCAGCCACCAAATGATTGGAGAGTCGAGTCGAGTCCGGCTTTCCGAGATAAGGGCGCTGCCTGTATCAGAGGCAGCAGCATTGTCAGCTTTGTTTGCGTCCATCTTGTGGATTGTTGTCGCCGCCATGGTACCTTGCCTGCTTCCGAACTTGGTTGCAAATGAGTGCCGATTGCTAATTTCCCTACTCTAATCCCCCCCCTTATCGTGCCGATTGCGACTGCTGGGTGACTTGACCTCGCTCATACATCGTCTGGCCAGAGAGGAGTTTAAGGTCCTGTGAGTGCCGCCGTAGCTAGTTTAAAATTTTAATGTACGGATTTGCCGCTCCAGAGAGCCCATATATGATAGCTATGCAGTACGCGGGTCAAGATGGGTTTACCTTGCAAGATCACGATTGTCACTTTTGACCTTTATTTTTCTCACAGCAACATCATTTCGAATAAAGTTTTGCAAGGCCAGAGTTGTCAATTAGATCGAGCCAACCAAGTTCTATGGAACCACCAAAGGTTCGGAGAGCAACCATGACAACAGAAGAGGAGACTGGAAAGCCCAGCAACCTGGGTTCTACCCACAACCAAGAGCACGAACACAAGGAGGGACAACAGGAACAGAAGTTAAAAGAACAGCAGAAGAATGAGCGACAGTCCACTTTGGCTCAAGCCAAGCGGTCTATTGCCTATCCAGCAGCAAAGAAAAAGAAAAATCAAACAGATTTTGTAGAAACATGCCTACGGACGACTACTACCACCGGTGCCACTACAGCTGCTCATAAAGTCGCAACAGGAAGTGCCATGTTGGCAAAAGAAAAACAATACATTGCATATCCAAAACAGCGCAAGTCAGTCAGCCAGACCCACGTTCCACCTGCCGCAAACACCAACGAGGCCAAAAGTGGAGAGGTCAGTGCCCTGTTGGCACATGAAAAGAGGCACATTGCTTATCCAAGAAGTGGGCCATATGATAAGAGCAGAGCCACCGACAATAAGCAAGGATATAGGCCTGATGCTGAGGTGCTTCTACCGGTACCGGTGCAGGCTGATTCTCCCGGCAACAGCAGCCAAGCCAGCAAATCTACCACCGACAATTCTACTCTCCTACAAGCTGCTAAAAGCACTACTGGTATCAAATACCCAAGAGGAGAGACAAACAGAACTGCTATCAAGAATGTAGTTCGGTCAGATATGGTACGAAATGATGACAATCGTGGAATTATGCCTTTGCCTCCACCCGAAGGTGGCTTTGCTTGTGAAAATTCAGAGCCCCACCCAAGCCGTGACGAACCCTTGGTCCAGGAAAGGGAAATAGTGCTGCCAAATACAGATCAAAGCAATTCCAGGGATGCTGGCCATGGCATTTCTAATGTTACAGAAGTTGTTGACCAAGCCACCACTCCCACGGACAACAACAGTGGATTGGCTGTAGCCACCCAAGTAGATGAAAATGAAGAACCTACACAGATTGCTAGACCCGACAATTTGCATGGGAAAAATGGATCAACCGTAACGACTCTCATGATCCTTGTTCTTGTTGGTAGCCTTCTCATCATTGGAGTGATTGTTGGTTCCATCTGTGGGGCTGGTCTCTGCAGCAATAAAGAAGGTGATGTGGAGACTGGATATTCTGTTTTGGGGGACATTCAAAACAGAATCGAAGAGGCTTTTGGGCCTGACTATTTTATGAAAACTGATGAGCCGGAACACACCCAGCCAAAGTTCAAGGCTCTTGATTGGATCATGTTTGAGGATCCTCTGCAGCTTGAGCCAGATTCCAACAATCTTCTACAGAGGTTCATTGTGGTATTGACTTACTTTCAAACATCCCGGGAGGGTGATTGGCTTGCCTGTGGACCATCTTCAACCCCAAACGATGAAACATGTTGGTTTCAAATCCAAGGTTCGGATTCATTGGCAAGTAGGTGGCTCACAGGTGTTCACGAATGTCAATGGGCAGGAATTTATTGTGACGGAGAGAAGCGCATTACTCAGTTGCGGCTCAGTGAGTCCTTTCCTGTTTTGTTGACCACAACAAGAACCAAATGCATGATTTGATTCCTGTACTTATCCTTAGCTTGCCTTCATTATCAGGGAACAATGGATTGAACGGCCCCCTGCCCGCAGAACTTGCAAGTCTTCTAGCACTGGAATCAATAGACTTTCCTGGGAACCAACTGACAGGAAGTATTCCCGTGGAATTGTTTGGATCCTCACTTTCCAAAATACTTCTGACAAACAATTCACTAACCGGGACAGTGCCCACAGAAGTTGGACTCTTTGATGGGGTCACACTTGGATTCGGGTCAAACAGCCTGTCTGGTTCCATTCCTACAGATCTCTTTCAGGCTGGCAAAAGAATCAGCTCTTTTTATTTTTATGACAATAAGGTATGACAACATTTTGTTGGGAACAGAACATCAGTGATCTTCTACTTTTGGTCGAGACCCTTAACTGTTGGTCGGCCCTTAACTGTGATTGACAGCTCACCATTTCCCTGCTTTGTAGCTTACAGGAACTCTACCCACTGAAATTGGAGCATTGCATGGACGTTTTCGAGCCATCGTCTATTTGCAAGGGAACCCTTTACACGGAACCATCCCATCCGAAATAGGACTTCTGAAAGGCTCTCTCGCAGAACTTTATATCAGTCGGACTCATATGGATGGCAGCATACCAGAGGAACTCTTTACAGAATGTACCAACTTAGCCGGTTTTCGGGTCTCCAACTGTGGCTTCACTGGCACCATAAGCACTGGACTGCAGCTTTTGACAAGGCTAGAAATCTTCGACATTTCCAACAACAAGTTCCATGGCACCATCCCAGGAGAGCTTTCTGCCCTGACAAAACTAAGTCGGTTTATTGTGAATGGGAATGACCTTTCTGGTTCCATTCCATCATCTGTCTGTGCTTTGGCTGACCCCACAAAGAGGAGATTTGAAGTGGCAGCTGACTGTTTGCCAAGAGATGGCTCGGGCGATCCCATGGTAGAGTGCTCGTGTTGCACTCAGTGTTGTGATGGTGGTGCTGCTGACTACTGCCTGTCCCAGTAGCTTCCAGCGCCAGCCTTGGGATAATGGCTCAGGGCTTGTTGTGGAATCGCTGGGCACTTTGCACTGGAGAGATAAAAGCTTTTTGCTGTATTTGTAGTACCTTTAGTTGTTTCAGCCGGACCGACACCACCTGCAAGTAACCGATAGCTCATTCGTAGCGAGCCCGATCTGGGCTTTTCCTGCTCAGGCTTGCCTGTAGGCGAAGCCAAACAATGCTAGACAGGCAAGCAGCAGTCGGGATGAGCAGCATGTTGACTATAGACTGACATCGGCGTTTATGACGCTTGCATTTGAAACCTAGCCTTTTGACACAGCCATGCAGGTGATGCCACTATTGCTCAAATACCAAAAGGAGAGATATTTTCACCCTCCTCCTGCTTCCGATCAGGTGACGCATCTACGAGACTCGTGTTCTGCACTAGCCAGCTAGCCATTCTAGCCATTCTAGTGGGTTCTCAAGATGTCAGAGTACCGATACTACTCATCCAATAATAATTGTGACTGCCGCCATTCCGGCGGCTGACGGAGTTGCTTCGTTCCTTCCTCCTCTGTTTTCTTGCATACCAAGGGAGACGAACATTCTCGGTTAGCATCTTTCTGGCTCCAATCGGTCAGGATGCGCCATTGGTGATTCCGTCTTGCTCGCGTGGCGTCACAGAATACTGTAGTTTGTCTTCGTCGATTGGACGATGTTAGATCCCTGCCGTACGTGCTCTGGGGGGATGCGCGTGGCAATGTCCACGTTCGGAGAAGAAGAAAAAAACAACACGGACCGTATGGGGTCATCGAATGCATGTGCATACAGTAAAGATCAATTGGTTGGTCGATTTTTGAGATCCTCGAGTGTCCACATTCGGAATATAAGGACTGCCTCACGGCGATTTCCCCAACAACCACAAGACACCGCGCAAGATACAAAACGCAATTCGGGCAGCGTATCCACCCAACCAACCACTGTGCAACAGAGTCGTCATCCATTTGGAGTTGCGGGCCTGCGGCAGGGACCGCTCGAGTACAGGTCTTTCATATTCTCGAAGCGCCTTGGCCGGATGATGATTGTCGCTATTGGCTACTAACAGCAATGATTTTGCCACGTCCACGCCATCCGAGAGCGCATTGCTGCCACCCCCGGCGAGCGCATAGGATGCGACGGGATGAAGGGCATCACCCAGCAGTGTAATGGGAGCGGATGGGTCTGGAAGGCAATACTTCGTCAAGTGATCCGGTGGGCGATCGTAGAGATGACGAAATAGCATGGGGCCTTGACATTGGAGCGTATCTTGAATGATAGCTAGAACACAGGGATGCCAGTGCCGGCATTGTTCCACCAATAATCCGAGGATCTGTTCACGGTCGTCGATTCTCATAGTATTATTGTCGTGTTTCTTCATGGGAAATGCAAAGTACCACAACAGATTCGTCTTGTCGCATTCGACCAAGAATATAGCTCCTCGCGGGTCGGTCATGCCGAACGTAAAGGATTTCTTGTTGTTGTTGTTGTGACCATTATCGCCAAACCATTCGGCTAATTGTCCCTGTTCCGGACAGACCCCACGGACCCATGCCACTCCCAAATGCCGCAATTTTGGCAGTGGAGGCAGCAGCAACAACTCGCGGACTTTGGAAAAGATGCCATCGCATCCCAACAAGACATTCCCCGTTATGTGCCGGCCATCCTCCAGAGTCACTTGGACGCTTGGCGGCCCCTGTGTTTGTGTAGTGTAATAGTTCAGGTGGACCACTTTGGCAGACCACAGAATGGTGGCTCGGTCGTCTCTGGATATTTCTTGCAGCATTTGCTGTCTTAGGACTCCTCGATTGATGGATGTTCGTCCTTTTTCAAATAATTCCATCAAATCCATCTCCTCCTCTGATGCTGACGATGATGACGATGACTGAAGGAGCACATTGCCTCCATGTTGGGTCAGACAAAAATTACTGCCCAGTGGTGTCACCAGCTGTTTCTCCACCACGAGTCGGTGGGCCATGTTCATGTGCTGCAGCGCCGTGGCTCCCAGAGGACTAATGCCCAAGGAAAAGCCCTGGATGCGGGCTTCGCTGGACGCATCCTTTTCCAAAATCACAACCTCCAGGTTATTGTTGTTGTTGCTGGATCCTTGGAGCAGAGTAATGGCTGCTGCCAATCCAGCAATTCCACCACCCGAAATGAGGACTTTCATAATAAAGGTACTTTTTGGATTTGAATGTGTCTCTTTCTGGAGGGATAGGGGTCCCAGCGCCGCGTTTCTTGGTGTCAACGCGGGAGATGCGGTCAGAGCGTTCCAAACTCGATCGTTGTGATGATCACACTGTGATCGAGAGATATATGAGATCAACCTTTTACCGAGAAGAGATTATTGAAAGATCGAAAGGATCTGTTCTCGGATATCGTAAGATCGCAGGTCCACCCAGCAAACCCGGCACGAAGTAAGGGCTCTAGCTAGCAAGTACGATAACACTAACCCCATGCACTTGCTCAATGACGAATGCCGACACGACACTTTTATGTTGCCTTCTGGTGCTGCAGCAGATCTCTCAGGATGCTACAGGATGCAGTAAAAACAAACTCGTCTTGATGTCAAAACACGCAGGGGATTAACGTGTTCGCCTACCACAATACAAGTAAAAGGTCCCCATCCTCATCTTCGCTCTCTCTAATCCATAGTAACTCCTAATCCAGTACAACCCCCCCCAAAAAATAATAATGGAACCTTCAGCATCCCAAATCCATGATGAGGAAGAGTTGTTGGATATTGTGGCTGCCAGAAGCCGGGGAGATACTATAGAGGAAGAGCTCAGAAAGCTGGAAAAGTTTGAATTGGAGGCGCAACAGAGAGAAGAGGAGCAAGCAACGGGGGAGGAAATGGGGAGGTCATTCCAGTCATTGCTGCATCATCCCAGCACAACAAGCGACGAACCCATGGGAGAGGAAATCAAAGAAGAAGAAAAGGAAGATGATATCTCTATTTCGAACGCAGTACAAGATCAAATAAAGAATCATCCTCAAGTTGCCAGGGAAACTCCGGCATCAGACGCTGGTCAAGAGGACCGTCCAAGCACAAAAGGTGACAACCCCACAGGAGAGGAAACCAGAAAGGAAGAAGCTGGTCTAGAGGGCGAGTTAGCGTTTCCGCAACCAAGTTTGACTCACGGGCAAAATCAGCAAGATGTGGCTACCATGCATCCTGGAGCATATGCAATGCCCCCCCAGAACAGAAGCAATGAAAGTATGGCAGATGACCAAGCTACCTCTCCCACTGACAACAATACTGGATTGGTCGTGGCGAACCAGGTTGAAGAAAATGAAGAACCTACACAGATTGCTAGACCCGACCATTTACATCCAAAAAGCCGATCAACCTCAATGATTCTCATTACCCTTATTCTCGTTGGTACCCTTCTCATCGTTGGAGTGATTGTTGGTTCCATCTGTGGGGCTGGTCTCTGCAAAAACAAAGAAGGTGACATGGAGACTCAGGCTCCCACTTCCTCTCGGTATTTTGTTTTGGAGGACATTCAAAACCGAATTGAAAAGGCTTTTGGGCCCCACTATTTTCCCAAGAATGAGGAGGCAGAACCCACCCCAAAGACTCGAGCACTTGATTGGATCGTTTTTGAGGATCCTCTGCAGCTCAACCCAGATGCCAACAATCTTCTACAGAGGTTCATCTTGTCATTAACTTACTTTCAAACATCCCAAGAGAGCGATTGGCTTATCTGTTCCCCATCTACAACTGCAAAGGATGAAACATGCTGGATTCAAATTGGGGCGTATGAATCATGGGGAAGTAGGTGGCTTACGGGTGTTCATGAATGTCAATGGACAGGAATTGATTGTGACACTGAGAAGAACATTACTCGGTTGCAGCTTTGTGAGTTCTTTTGTATCTCTTTCTGACCACATCAAGGGTTAAAATGCATGATTCCTGTCTTACCCTTAGCTTGCTTTCATTATCAGGGGACAATGGATTGAACGGCCCTCTGCCCACAGAGCTGGCAAGTCTTCCAGCTCTGGAAGATATAGACCTTAAGGGGAACCAACTGACGGGCACGGTTCCAAGCACTTATGGCAGCTTCCTTTCCCTTTCTTCACTGCTTATCACCCACAACCAACTCTCTGGAAGTATTCCATTGCAATTATTTGTTGAAAACAAGCTCACCACATTATCTTTTACAAACAATTCGCTAACAGGGACAGTACCCACAGAAGTTGGACTCTTTGATGGGACTGGTCTTGCATTGGATTCAAACAGCCTGTCTGGTTCCATTCCCACAGAGCTCTTTCAGACTGACAAAAGAATCGGAACTTTTCTTTTAAACGACAATATGGTGCGACAACATTTCCTTGGAACAGCATGTCATTGATCTTCAACTCTTGGTTAAAAACCGAAAGTGTGATTGGCAGCTCACCATTTTCCTGCTTTGTAGCTTACAGGAACTCTACCCACTGAAATTGGAGCATTGTATGGACGTAATCGAGTCAACGTCCATTTGCAAGGGAACCCTTTGCGTGGAACCATCCCATCAGAAATAGGACGTCTGAAAGGCTCGCTGAGCAAACTTGATGTCAGTCGTACCAATATGGATGGCTCGCTACCAGAGGAACTCTTCACCAGTTGTACCAACTTAGCTGGACTTTGGGTCTCTAACTGTGGCTTGACTGGGACAATCAGCACTGGACTGCAGCTTTTGACAAAGCTGCAATGGTTTGACATGTCCAACAACAAGTTCCATGGCACCATCCCAGCACAGCTTTCTGCTCTGACAAAGCTAGTTCGGTTTATTGTGAATGGGAATGACCTTTCTGGTTCCATTCCATCATCTGTCTGTGCTTTGGCTGACCCTTTCAAGGGCACCTTTGAAGTGGCAGCTGACTGTTTGCCGATGGATGGGACCGGCAATCCCATGGTAGAGTGCTCTTGTTGCACTCTGTGTTGTGATGGCAGTCTTGCTGACTACTGCCTGTCCCAGTAGGGTTTCAGCGACAACCTTGGGATAACTTGGCTCGGGGTTTGTCTTGGCAACTACAACCTGCAACGAGAGATACGCTATCTCCCAAGATGCTTTGTGACCTCAGCCACCAATTTTTAAAAAAACGGCCGCCAATTATCAATGATACTAGCTAGCTATGAATAGCAGCAAAAACAACACAGCTCGATCGTTGATGCCATCGTCCAAGGTAGAATATCACGTAGTGGCAAAGGCAAAGATAACCTGGTCGTAGTTACCGAGGCTTGTCCCAGGTTTCGTGTATACTTTGCGGTAGTTGGATTTGACTACCAGTATATATACATGCAGGAAATCCAAAAGTTGTGCTGGCTTCAGACGGCAGTGCTGCTCGATCAGGATCCAAGGCTTATTGTACTCCCGCGGATGCAAGTTGTCTATCCAGTACATTGATTCTATTGAGAGTGACTCGGTCAACGCGATCTTACCGTCTCTAGTTAGCTAATAGAATTACCGCTAAAGTGTATTGTTGGATCTTAGCCTGGAAATGGGGATGGAGTTTATTACAGCCTTCTGCTGCATGTACTGGTACAGCGATCCAAGCCTCGCACTCGTTTCGTGATCCGTACATGCAGTCGTCCATGCGGTCGACTGTAAAAAGTGTTGCATTGGCCGTCCGTCGGCAGCGCAGCAGTTTGGTTTCTGTTTCGAATGTACGGCACTGAAGAAAACAGATGACTTACCCTAGCTGGATCTCCAACTTGACCGTCATGGGCCGAGAGCGGTGAAAGTCCTGGGATCTATAGATCCCAGGTCCATATAGAATTCAATGATCGAGGGATGACTTTCCACTTCTACACCAGAGACGATCGGCTTGAGTCCAAATTCGACGAGGGTTAGAATCCTACATGATATCTATGGACAAAGCAGCCTCCCTTGTTCTCTGGAGCGATCAATGCACTTGACGACAAGAATGGTGCGTCCTGGGCCAGCCAGCCATCAGCAGCAAAAGAGAAAGTTGGAAGTCGATAATTCTGATCATGAAGAAAACCAAAAGACGTACCGTTGCTTTTCAAATTCCACCAAGAAGCTGATGGTCGAGAAAAGAAAACTTTCCCGAGCTGGTAATTTTCAATAGGGATGGCTTTCCAATCTGCACCGGAGAAACTCTGATTAACTGTAGATCGAGCCACGGATCCATCGGCTTGGAGAAGAACACCCGATTGACTGCATGAGACTTGGATAACAGAGTTGCCACCGATCGACTCGACTCGACTCGTCCAACTATTACAGTAGCCTGTTGATGCGGTAGCTAGCTAGCTAGCAGCTAGCACTGATAGTCCATAGACGTCATGGTCAGCAGAAATTCTGGCTCCGGTTGCGTGGTGATGGCGCCCCAGTCGGAGTGCTTCCGTTTGCATGTTTCATCCTGACACCATGCAGTGGCTGGACCAGTTCAACAACAAAAAAAGAGAATTGTGATGGCGATGTGTTGATTTTTGCTTCCGCTTTTCGACGGAGCCTCAAGAACGCCATGAAGCCTTATGCTCTTATGCACCCATACTTATGCAGCTACTTATGCATACTAGATCACGACTCTTGTTCTACTCAGTATCATACCGATAAGCTCGAGACAATTCAAGAGATTTACCAGTACCGGGGGGGGTGGAGAAATCCAGTGGCATTCATGGCCGATCAGTGCGGCTCCATGGGAAGACAGTGGTAAACGGTGGTTGACAGCAGTTGACAGTGGTAGCAAAGAAAACAGTGGTAAAGAGAGTGGTAAACAGTGGCAAAGATAGCGGAAACAGCGGTAAATATTGTTGTAAACAGTGGTAAAGATAGCGGTAGACAGTGGTAAAGATAGCGGTAGACAGTGGCTGGCAGTGGTACTAGTAAGCAATTGATGCCTCACCAAAAACCTTGGTGTGCAATGATAGGCATTGGATTTCTCCACCCCCCCCTGCAGGCCTCCCATCCACCATTCAGTGTGTCAGCAGGTACGTACACGGGGTCCTTATTTCTCCGTCGAGCTCTGCGCAAAGTCGAGGGGACAACCATTTAATTACATGCAATAACAATGGATGATGTCAGGACTCTGCGGAGCTCTCTCCAGTCACAGACAGGGAGAACCAGCAATTGCCAGGCTACCGGTATCTGGTCTAGCCATAGCTAATCAGTCGGTTAACAAAGAAGAGTCCAAAATAACACCTGATTTTGTCAAAAACGTGCCTTGAGAACTGAGATACCACATTACTCACAAACTGCCAATCCTCAGCTGGGCTTTCATGACTCTGAGTGGAAATTCAGGAGACAACTGCATGAGCATCGATCCACTACCGGTACAATAGAGGTTCAGGAAAAATGGAACCGTCTCCAGGAGGATCCCAAATGGATGCCCAGGAAGAGGTGATGGATATTGTGGCTGCCAGAAGCCGAGGGGACAATAGAGAGGTGGAGCTCAGAAAGCTGGAAATGTTCGAATTGAAGGTGCAGCAGAGACAAGACGAGCAATCCAAGAGAGAGGAAATGGGGAGGTCATTCCAGTCATCGCAGCAGCATCCCAGCACAACAGGCGATAACTCCACAGGTGAGGAAATCGGAGAAGAAGAGCAAGACGATCCCTTTATTTTGAAGGTAGTACAGGAGCGAATACAGAATCATCCTCAAGTCACCAGCGAAACTCTGCCAGCAGGAGCTGGTCTAGAGGATTATTCCAGCACAAAAGTCAACAACTCCACAGGAGAGGCAACCAGAAAGGAAGAAGCCGGTCCAGAGGACGAGCTGGCTTTTCCGCAACCAAGGTTGACTCGCGGGCAAAATCTGTCAGATCAAGCTGCCATGCGTCCCGGGGCATACACAGCGGTCCCCGGAACTGCTCTCCAGAGAACCACAACATTCAGGGGATCATTGGCAGGAGGAGCTACTTCTTCTGCTCACGTTGAAGAGTTTACTTCAAGCGCACACACGAGCAATCAAAGTACGGCAGATGGCCAAGCCACGACTCCAGCAGACAACAATAGTGGATTGGCAGTGGCGAACCAGGTTGAAGAAAATGAAAACCCTACACAGATTGCCAAACTGGGCCATTTGCACGGGGAAAAAGGAACAACCTCAACAACTCTCAAGATCCTTGTTCTTGTTGGTGGCCTTCTCATCATTGGAGTGATCGTTGGTTCCATCTGTGGGGCTGGTCTGTGTAGCAGCAAAGAGGGTGATGTGGAGACTGAGGCTCCCACTTCTTTTCGATATTTTGCTTTGGAGGACATTCAAAACCGAATTGAAGAGGCTTTTGGACCTGACTATTTCTCTAAAAACGATGAGCCAGAACCCACCCAGCCAAAGTTGAAGGCTCTTGATTGGATTGTGTTTGAGGATCCTCTGCAGCTCAACCCAGATGCCGAAAATATTCTACAGAGGTTCATCTTGTCATTGACTTACTTTCAAACATCCCAAGAGAGCGATTGGCTTGATTGTGGGCCATCTACAACTGCAAATGATCAAACATGTTGGATTCAAAATTTCCGGGGTTCGGAATTAGTGGCAAATCAATGGCTCGCAGGTGTTCATGAGTGTCAATGGGCAAGAATTGTTTGTGACAGAGAAAAGAACATTACTCAGCTGCGGCTTTGTGAGTTTTTCCAATTTTTTTGTTGATGCACAGTTTGATTCCTGTACTTATCCTTAGCTTGCATGCTTTCATTATCAGGGGACAATGGATTGAATGGCCCTCTGCCAACAGAACTTGCAAGTCTTCCAGCACTGAATTTATTAGACCTCAAGGGGAACCAACTGACGGGCACGGTTCCAAGCATATATGGCAGATTCCTTTCCCTTGCTTCGCTGAATCTAGGCCACAACCAACTGTCTGGAAGTATTCCATTGGAATTGTTTGGAAACAACAAACTCTCCTCATTATCTTTCGCAAACAATTCACTAACAGGGACAGTGCCCACAGAGATTGGACTCTTTGATTGGACTTTGCTTGATTTTCAGTCAAACAGCTTGTCCGGTTCCATTCCTACAGAGCTCTTTCAGACTGGCCAAGGACTCCGTCTCTTTCTACATCTTAATGACAATAAGGTATGACAAATCTTTCCTCGGCACAGAACCTCAGTGATCTTCCAACTTTTGGTCAAGACCCTAAACTGGGATCAATTTACAGCTCACCCTTTCCCTTTCTCTCCTTTGTAGCTTACAGGAACTCTACCCACCGAAATTGGAGCATTGCATGGACGTGATGATCTCATCCTCGCTTTGCAAGGGAATCCTTTACGCGGAACCATCCCATCGGAAATAAGTCTTTTGAGAGGCAATATCGGAGACCTTGATATCAGTTGGACCAATATGGATGGCTCCCTGCCAGAGGAGCTATTTACAAAATGTACCAACTTAGTTTCTCTCAAGGCCTCCAACTCTGGTTTGACTGGGACAATCAGCACTGGACTGCAGCTTTTGACAAAGCTGCAATGGTTTGATATTTCCAACAACAAGTTCCATGGCACCATCCCAGCACAGCTTTCTGCTCTGACAAAACTACAACGTTTTATTGTGAATGGGAATGACCTTTCTGGTTCCATTCCATCATCTGTCTGTGCTTTGGATGGCCCCGGAAAGGGCTTCTTTGAAATGGCAGCTGACTGTTTGCCAGGGGAGAGCACAGGTGATCCCATGGTAGAGTGCTCTTGTTGCACTCGGTGTTGTGATGGTAGTCTTGCTGACTACTGCCTGTCCCAGTAGGGTGTCAGTGACAAGCCTAGCTAGCTAGGATAGAATGGCTCGGAGTTTGTCTTGGAGACTGCACTGATTGATCGAACTAACTAAGCTAACTAGGAATAGAAGCCAAAATATATTTTACCAAGTTTCGTCTCCTTCTCCCTTTACAACTGATTTTATCCTGGTTAGCTATAGCCTAGCCTAGCTAGCTACCATACCCGTAGTTAGAGCATCATCAACGCTGGTGGATGCAATGGCGGCCTCGGTTTTGAAGACAAGCTCTCTGGTTGTGTTGCCTTTCGCAGCTCTGCGGGATTTTGCCTTGCGACAATGATGACCACCCTCTCACAATCACAACAGCGACAACGGCTCATTTATTTTCATTGTACGATATCATCGCAACCACCACCAAGTAGCTCGAGAAGTAGAAAGACGATTGAGGAGTCCATCCATTGCCTCTATCTCTCTGTGTTTGAAGTCGACAAGCGCGTATTCTTTCACGGGCACATGGCAGAAAAGACAAAGGAAACAGTACCACATTCGCTTCTAGGTTGCTAGCTAGTATTGCGACGTACCGCACCGTCCATGCATCACCAACCATCAAAAGCAAGACCAACGACAATAAAGGAGACACATAGTATCACAATGGCAGGACGACTCCGCACCCGTGGGAATCGCAAAAAGACGTTGTGGACGTCCAAACCTTTTCTGCTCTTGTCGGCATTGATATTGGGATCCATCATCTTTTACGGGGTCTTGGTGGTACGCGTGGCATTCAAGAATCCAGACTTGATTATAAGTGGACAAGAACAAGAAGAAGACAGATACAGCTCCTCCAAGTCCTCCAAAGACAAGTTCCGACGATTTTTGGAATTCTCCAAACAGAATCAGGATGCGTCGTCATCGTCGTCACAACACAGAATAGTCAGCAAACCACAGCATGAACCCAACAAAGAGGAACCGTCTGATCATGTAGAACAAGAAGAACGGCACAAACGACAAGATCAGCAAGAAGAGAAAGACGAAACTGTGTCACGCAAAAAAGGACCCAGGGGACAACAACAACAACAACAATCACCAGCCTCTCACAAAAGTGAAGACACCAATAAACGAAGAAACAGCCGTAATCATGATCCATCTTCCAAGTCCAACAATAAGGCAGTACCACCCAAACCCAAAGTCAACAAGTCACTTCCAGTACGACAAGTCATGAGACCCATGTGGATGCCAAAACCAAAGGGACAGGGAGTCCGACCTCAAGTACTCTTGCAAGCAAAAGACGAACAAGACACGGCGGACGCCAATGCAATTGCAGATCAAGAAGAACAACCATTCATGCTCAAGGCATTTGTGGAACCCATTGATTTTGACGAATGGGAACAAAAACCACTGCCATCCCCCCGCAAGACTGCCACGGCCGATCAACTCTACGAACTCCACTTTCCCAAAGTCGCTGGCAATTGTCAACACGTGCCCAAATACATTCCCGCCGACGAGTATCCGGATCAAGATACCTTTTTACCCTGGATTCACGACGTCTTTCCGACCCATGATGGCAAATACATTCAATTCATTGCCCAAAATCGACGACGATGTCATACCGGGAATACGCCAGAAGAAATTGAATTGCTGCATGTGACACAACCCAACATTGCACTCTTTCAACACGTGCCCGTCAAACGCGTGTTTTTCAACAAGGACGAAACACGCTATCAACTCGTACCGCATGAACAAGCCGATCCAGATGGCGTTGCCACACGATTCATTTGTCGTTTCAAACCCAGCATGGAAGAGACACTTTCCGTCTACAATTTTGATTACGATTATGCATCCTATCGCAAACGACCTTTCGGAGGACACACATTCAATTATGAAGATGGAGGCATCAAGAGTGTCCATTTGACACAATTCCTCTTTCGATGTCCCGTTCCAGAGCATTTAGTCGAAACGGTACGCACCGGGGCATCCATTGATCCCGACACGCACCAGGCATCGCTTTTTGTCGATGTCATTCCCATTCGCACACCACCCCGCTATGGACTCAGCAATGAATTTTTGCAACCCAAATATGCCGACAGCGACAACAATCATCACACGGAAGGACGATTCGATCCAACGCTCGAATGGGGCGAGCATCACATTTTGCCACGGATTGAAGATTCGGGACGATGGGAAAACTTTCCCATTTGTCGACCGTCCTTGCAAGAATACTATTCGCCAACACGGGCGGCCGCGGCGCAACCACCACCTCCTAAAGAAATGGAACGCAACGATCAAGTGGCACCGCGCATGCATCGCTTGGTGAGTTGCATGTGGGCCAGTGCGGGATACACTACGCGGGGAGAACGATTTGCCATTAACGATGGACAACGACGCATGTTGGAATGGATACACTACAATAAACTGTTGGGATTTGAACACTTTTATTTGTACGACAATTCCGATGCCTACAATTTGGGACCGGGATTCAATCTCAAACCCATTGCCGATCTGTTTCCCGATGAGATTACCTACATTACCTGGCCCTTTTCGGTCTGCAACAATAATCCCAACAATGTGGATAGTCCGGGAGAACGGTCTTCCCAGTATGCCGCAGAATCGTCGTGTCGATTGCGATTTGGTCCTCATGTGGAATGGATTGGACAGTTTGATATGGATGAATATCTCATTCCGATGGGCAGTTATACCAGTGTGTTGCCCATTTTGGACAGTTTGGATGAGAAGGGTACCAAGATTTTGTCATTTGGATCCTGGAGGGCGTGGCCCAGACGTGATCTGATAGAGTGAGTATCTTTGTTGTACTCTTGCCTTGGTGGTTTTGTCTTGGCTCATTTATTTCAATCATTTCTCGCCCGTGTTGTTTGTGCTGTAGAGAGCCTGTACCCATTACAGATCGAAGCCAGTGTGACCACCACTTCCATTGCTTTGAACTACAGGTCCCAACACAGCGTACCTACCTACAAACGTACAATTGTGATCGACAATCAGGGCCTAAGAAGGATGTCATGCCCGCTGAAAAGCAACTCTACAAACCTTCCTATGTCCGACAACACTTTATTCACTATTCGTCTGTCACCATATTGTCGGATATGAACAAGACCGAGTTTGAAAAGCAAGGATACGATTGGTTTCGCACACGAATTGCGCCAGATCCCAAATCTCGCTTTTCCGATGAAGTAAATGAAGCTACCATGTTGCACACCAAAGCCATTGCACGTCAAGATACGGCTGGATGGAATGAGATTTGCAAGGTGGAAAAGTACGGTAAAGGGGCTACCTGTAGGATTGGTGTCCCGTACCCAGAGGTATACGACGAAGAACGGGATGGGCCGGGAAACAAGGATGGGTTTGCCTACAATTGTTATATTAACAAAAAGACCGAAACGCACTGGGTTCCTCGACTGGAGAAGGCCATTGCCAAGGAGCACGGTCACATTTTTGATAGTACTGCTAACCAATAACACACACTGTAACATCAACTAACTAAGCAGTCCCTTGTGTCCCAAGTGGATCTCTGGTAACGTTGCGCGATAGACGATCAAGCAGGGTGTCGTGTTGATGGCGACCGAAGAGAAGCCTACAGTAGAAACGATTTGGTAAATGAATGCATGTACGCTGTAGAATGTAGAAGTATCGTGATGCCCAAGAGCTAGTTTAGACTTTTTACGTCTACTATTGGTGCCACAGGCAGGCTTTTTTGTGGTGAAGGCTTCACATGCACCTCCATGAGGTGCCCGGCCTGGTATCTGCCATGGTTTGGCGGGGCATCAGGGACAGTCCATTTTCGCTACCGTAGTACGTTACAGTATGCGTGGCCACCTCGTGCCTTGTCGGCTACCAGCGGTGCGCTCGTGGCTTGACTTTGCCGTCTCAAAGTACGGTTTCTGTGGTTGGCCAGACAGTCCGTCTCATTGTTGTCTGTGATGTGGCTATTGCGACCACTTGCACTGTTAGTTGCTTCATGCTGCTTTTCTGGATACCACAACGGGTTGGGGTGCATCTTGGAGTCGCACTGGGAGCTTGGGAGCCCCACCGACATTGTCGTGTATTCTGACGGGTACCTTGGGTGCCACAGCTGATACACTCTTCTTCTCAGGGCTTCTTTGAGAGCAGCTTTCCCAACGATCTACCTTTTTGCGGTTCTGTGGTGGCGAAGAGAGCGTTCGACGAGGCACGGACTTGCTGGTCACTTTGCTCCTTCGAGAAGTGCTGCTGGTGACAAGGGTGAATGACTTTGACTTGTGGACACGGGCATTGTCAGAGACGATTTCAACGTTCATGTTGGAAAACACAAGGTTGGCTGCAAAGAGCTCAAGGGTGGATGTTGTGTCGGTCATGGCTGCAGCAAGTTGATTTTGTGTGGATGGTTTCTCAAAATCGGTTTTGTGAGCATCACCGCTTGTGCTCGTGCCAACGTTGAAGACAAGTTCTCCTTGAACCTAAAACTATTCGTTCGGTATCCACACAATTAAAGGGTTATTCCCAGCTGTTCACTTACTTAAACCTCGAATGGACCCAGTCTATGACCACTATGTTCATGCTCTAATCCATAACTTTCCATAGATTCCTGTACGAGCAGACTACGTTTAGCTTCAGCATTCGTCAAATTCGGGTTAATATGACCTTCTTGCCCCAAACGAGTGTTTAATTATGACCTTGTTGTCCTAAAGAGTGATCAATGCTCACAAGCCAGCAAGACAGGCCAGAAACCTTACAAGCCTACTTAGTACTTACTGGAGAAGCTCTGGTTTTTGGAGATTGTTCGAAAACGGTATTCTGGGAAAAGGCAACAAAGAATCAGAGTACATAAGGCACAGTACCTGAAATTAAATCGTCATTTGAAGCGGTATTCTGGTGGTTGAGTCCTCTAAATCGGCTTGCCCTTTCCATCTTCACGAGTACAGCCAACTTCGCAAACACAAAATTAATTGCAAGACTGGGAAGCGAGGCGAAAGTCGTGCAAACAAACGAGCATAACCTTTCTCTCGACGAACAGCCCCCCCCCCCAAGCTAGCAAGATCGGACATCATTCCTTGCCTGGACTCTATGAAGCCTGGCAAGAGAAGGAGAATGCAGGTTGCAAGCAGTACCTGTACCTTAGGAGCAATAGCTGCCCACAAGCAAGACGGAAGGGTGACCGAGGCAGGAGCGAGATAGACTAAAAGCCTGACACGACCTATCGCGGGTGTGTAAAAGGGGATTGGTTCAATTTAGGGATCTTCCTTGACTGCGTGGAAAGCCTCATCACTTCCGGATAGCTTTCGCTCTCGTAGCTAGAATCAAGCAATCATAGTAGACTTGATGCCTGGACAACAACGATTGCTTGATTCGCGGCTTCCATGTTGCTGCTGGAAGAGCGAGCAACAGCCCGTGTTACTGGACTGCATGCATCCTGAATCCATGGTGCCTTGATGGTACCGTACCGCCCATTCTAACCTCTTGGGGTTCTCGCCCGCAGGTGTGTAAGAGGAGATTCCAGGCAAGATAGTACCCTGCGTGGAAAGCATCAGTTCTTCCAGATAACTTCTCGAAGCAGAATCAATCATAGTCAACTTCTTGCCTGGACAAAGATTTCTTCGCAATTCCATGTGGCTGGAAGAGCAGCCAACAGCCCAGCCAGGCAGCATGCATCCATGTTGCCTTGCTGCTGGTACCGTACCGATACCGCCCATTCTAGCCTCTTGGGATTCTCGCCCTCCTCAAAAAGAACCTTTGTTCTCCACTCTGCCCACCACAGTACACTACATGTAAATTTTTTTGGCTTGCTCTACCATTCGGACATCTAGTTGCCGTGAAAACTCACTGGCAGGGTCCAGAAACCGTACTACCGGTAGGTGAGGCTTTCGCTGATTGAGGAACCCTCCCAACGGATAGACAACTATCGGTACCAGCGGGCGGAGCTGCCTGGTTATGGTCGCTATGAAGAATGACTCAAGCAATAAGGACATCACTTGATACTTGGCTGCTTCTTGGCTGAGATACTGGTAGCTAGCTCGCTTTCTCAGCTGCAAAGAGCAACTCAAAACTAGCCAACTGGCTACAGAGTTTGAAGGCTGCGGGGGTTGTCAATGGCGGCGGCCTAACCCTAGACCGTCTTCTCTCGCAGGCTTCATTACGTTCGGACAGAACCTTCTGTCTAGCTTGGCTATGGCTCAAAAGATAGATGGACTCCATGGCACCAATGGGGTGCACAAGAGTGAGGTACCGAAAGATACCAGTAGTGCGGACTGGGTGTAATAAAGACAATATTATAAGAAAACTCCGGAGGACAAACAGCATTGCCGGCTGATATCTTCAGGAAAAGATCGCCTACGTCATTGCTCGAAACGGTGTCAACGAACTGATGCCAACAAAAAGCTAGTCGAAAGATTTGGGCTCAACACACTCTTGGTTCGAGGTGTCATAGATACAAGTAGAGCACAGCAAAAAGAGATCCCTTTGCGAAGCAGTACCGTAGGCACCACCACACATCTATAGGATACAATGAAGAACTTTCTGTTTCTCTCCTTTCTCTTGGCGGCAAACCATGGCGCCGATGCCTGGACCGTTGGACCAAGACCATCCACCAAGTCAGTTGCCACAAAGACCGAGAAGCCCCATAATGGATGGGTAGCAGCAGCCGCCGCAGCAACACTCACTTTGGCAACCATCACGACTCCTATTGCGTCGGCCACTACCGTTGACCAGCCTCTCTCTCTTGGTAAGTGGTGGCTTCAGTATCGTTCAGTCTTGTCTTGGTATTCTTGTTTTAGGTGTAACCTCACATTGATATCTCGTGGTGTTGTCGTTAGACCAACACCCAACCATGTTGGTGGCTGCTGCTGGAGCCTATCAAGCTGAAGAAAGCTACATGTCCACGGATCTTTCCATGCCCACATACAACACTGAGAACTCGGCTGATTTGATAAAAGCAGAAAAACCCGTCAAAGAGGCCGCTCCCAAAAAAGCTGCGTCACTTACGAAACAGAAGAATAGGGCTCCCAGAGCCGGTACAGCCGAAGAAAGCCCTGCTGCTCGGGAGCGTCGTTTGCAGAGAGAAGCCGAAGAAGATGCTCGTGCTGCTGAAAAGGCTGCCAAAGACGCAGAAAAAGAGGCGATAGTTGCGGCACGCAAACAGGCTGACTTTGAAAAAGCCGCCGCTGCCAAGCAAGCAAAGTTGGACAAGCAGGCCAAGAGGCTGGAACAACGAGGCAAAGTTGCCACACTAGAATAAGGTGCACAGCCAGCTGCTAGCTGAGGCCGAGTTTAAAGGCCGCTTGTGATAATGGTGGACTTCAACCTGCCTCAATAGAAGAAAAGAAACCCGGGCAACCTAACAAAAGAGTAGACTGAGAATCCTTTTATTTTTATTGGGCAGTGGGATAATATGTGCCGTGCTGGTAGTATCTCTTTTTTCATCCATTGGACGGAGTACCGGTAGCAAGAGCCGCACGCTGCTGCTGCCTTGGCGGTTCTGGCGGCCTTCATTCGCCGCAGTTCTCCCACACGCAAACGTTACCGCCAATGACAACTGAGGCTTCATTCAGGAGACTGGTACAGTATCAAGTCTCTCGCAATGGACTTTACGAAGTGCATTCTGACGAGTCACAGCCAACGTCACACTCCCCACATTGCGTTGATGCTACTCGCCGTATGACGCAAATCGGTCTGGATTCAAACTCCACAAAGTAGATGACTTCGGTTGTGCTGAACCGAAAATTCCTGCGCTTCAGAAGAATCCAACAAGGCGAAGATGCAAGGGGCAAACTGCTGTTGCTGCCAAAAGTAAAATGTCACGTGGGCTGTTACCCTGGCCTTGGTGAATAGCTAGCCAGTTGTATTGCACATCTCACATGCATCACACCCACACAGATTTGTAGAGGAGCAAGTAAAGTTGACCTTCTCCACATCATAACAAAATGTGTACAGACCATAATAGGTATTGCAGGTGTAGATCATGTCCCAAAGTCGATCACAGAGGCTGCCTGGAATAGATCCAGTTAGCGAGGTGTTTGATACAGTCAGGAGCTCCAACCCATCCAAGTCCGACAAGGCTTCGGGAATGCTGCCAGTCAGATTGGTATCACCAAGACGGAGATCTGTCACCTTGCTCAAAAGCCCAAGCTCGGATGGTATGCTGCCAGAGAATCTGTTGTGATTGAGCCACATCTTCTCCATACTTGTTAGCAGGCCTAGCTCAGTGGGCAATGGTCCCTCTAGATTGTTGTGGTTCATAGTGAGAAATGTCAGCTGTCCCCAACTCTCAAAGATTGAGGCTGGAAGTGTTCCAGTGAAGCTGTTGCCATGCATCACAAACATGGACAAATCTGTCATTGAGGCAGGTATGAGAGACGCGTGTTGAGAACAATTCCAGCACCTCAGCAACCAAACTTACTTGAAAGAAGTCCAAAATCTGTTGGCAATGTTCCCGTCATCTCATTTACATCAAGGTCCAGCCGTACCTGCTCAAACAAGATGGCCACCGTCACTATGTGAGTGATTCTGATCGGGGGGTAGAAATCAACAACCACGTCCGGACGTACCATGTTGGTCAGTAGGAACAGCTCGGTGGGCAAAGATCCAGTGATGTGGCATTCATACAGGTTGAGCTTTGATAGATTGGAGAGCATCCCAATTTCAGTGGGAATGGAACCATTGAACGGAACATAGGCGGTCAAAAATTCCTTCAATTTGGTCATTTGGCCAATCTCTGGCAGCAGGTCTCCTCCTGTGAGGCCTTTCAGGGCCTGAGCTCTCAATGTGACCATGTTGGTTAGCCTATAGATCTCAGTGGGAAATGCTCCTGACAAGCCCACGCAATAAACCAAACTTAGAAAGCTCAGAGCCCCCATGTTTCCAATCTCACTAGGGATGGATCCTGTTAAGGGATTGTGACCCAATTCAAGTTCCTGAAGCAGGGAGAGCTTTCCAATCTCTGTGGGGATTTGGCCTGAATGGAGACTCCGGTCTGCATAAAACCTCAGGAGGTTTGTTAACAGACCAATCTCAGAGGGAATCACACCATAAAGGTTTTCATTGGACCCAACTTCCAGGTTCACCAATGAATTACTCAACAGGGAAATCTCTGGTGGGAGGGTTCCTTCCATGTTGTTCTCCGTAAAGACTAAATGCAGGTACTGCCCATCATCATCACACACAGAGTCTAGATACTGAAGTTCGGCTGTCACTTCTGTATTACCTTCAAACAGGAAAAAGTCCTCTTCACCACCAACAAGTTTCCTAACATACCAGGAACATTCATCCACGTCATAGCTGAGCCAATCCTCTTGGAGAATCCAATCTTCACCTCCTGTGCTGAAGTAGAACACAGCTAAGGCAAAACGTTGCTGGATTCTCCATTGGGGATAGGCCGTCCCGTTTGGGTCATTCAACAGCCAATCATAGGCCCTGGCTTGTGGAGAGCTGGGGTCTTTGAGTGCATTCAGTGTACTCATTGGCAGCCCGTCCCATGCAATGCTGAGAATTGTCGGTGAGGTAGTCGGGGGTTCTGTTTTGGGTGATTCCACCCCACTGAGTGTAGGCTCTTCCAAATCTTGGTTATTTTCTGGGACTAGAACAGCAACGAGGATCATTATGATAGCAATAAGGAGGATTGCGGCAAGAAGCAAATACGTCTTGATTTGCTTCGTCCTTTGCACCCTTGTTCTCGCAGTTTCTTGTTCTGCGTCAACATTTTGGGCCTGCGGAAGTAGATGATGGGGTAGAGCTTCCTCGACTGGGTTGGCCACGGCCAATCCCCGGTCCATGCTTGCTGGAGATACTTCATCATCATTATTTATCGGAGAGTCTTCAGGTTGTACAGCGTGATTCTTTGGATAAGGATGACATGCCAACTCTTCATCATCGTCATGGTCTTCACGAGTAGCTGCGAATTCCCGAGAGGGAGGAGCACCGACTAAGGAATGGCTAATGGTTTCGACCCTCTCGAGTTCCATGCCGGGTGTTGCAGAAAAGGCCCCAGGACCCATCGAACTAAATTGTTGATGGATTGGTCGTAGTGATGGCATGGGCAATACGCCGTCGAGTATCTCGGCATTGTCTGTCAGGTTTGCCATAATATGACTTCCAGGCGTGACCTCCAATATTCCATTGATTGGATCGTAATCATCGGTGGATAATGCTACGTTCATAGCTTGGCTCAGAGGTGACTCGAACTCCTTGGCCTGCCTCAAACGCGACTCTGTTGCCTGAGCAACCTCCTCTAAGCCGTCCTTGCTCCCTCCCTTGGCCATGTCTTTTGGGACATCCGTTTCATCTTCTTCCTTCGTCATCAACCGTGCGTTTTTGGTTGGCTCTTCCATCGTAGTTGTAGTTGTGAGTTGTAGTGGTACGGGAGTACGGTTGGATATAATAATTTCCAAAGCAATGGGCAATGGGTTTCTCAAACTCGAAGCTCGAAGGGCGCTGCTGTTGATGGGATCACTAGTAAGTTGATCACTGATGTCATTCCTCAAAGAACGCCGCAACATAAAACATTCCTTTCAGGTTGGTAAACGAGAACTCCGGATGAACGGAGAAACTGCACTGCTAGTAACAGATTCGGATACAATTGATCCTTTGGCCTTTGGAAAGCAGATTTATTTAATTTTTAGGCCCAGAAGAATTTTTCGCCTGCTGGGAAGAAAAGCTGAAGATACTAGCTAGACTACTGTAATGTTTTATTGTACCAGCTTTTCTAGCTAGCCAGCGCACAATGAAAGGGCCCGAAATGGCGATTTACACCAAATTCCCATTTATACTTGTGTTTCCGTTTTATATTTAGGTTTGGATCTTATATTTTGGTTTCGGGTTGATTTTTATAGTTAATTACCATAGTAATTTGGTTTCGATTTTATATTTAGTTAGGTATCGATTATATTTAGGTTTCGGTTTTATATTTAGGTTTCGAATTGATCAATTTGGTTGGATTCATAAAATCGTGATTTCCGGCCCTTTCAATCAGAGGAGAATTTCAATTCTGCAAGGGCGAAATTTGCACCAGAGAAAGACTTCAAAGAAAGATCAATTGTGCCCGAATCGAATCGGTAGAGGGAGATCTTCAACGTCTTCTGAAGAACCTGCCATCTAAATATCACAACTGGTTGCAGAGCTGTTGCAGGAACCCAAACACCTCCTCAACCATATCATAGCTGCAGCAAAGTTCGGCAGGGCAAACAGCAGCATCATGAGTGACCCTTGCCCATTCGGAAGATCTTTGCGTTGGGAAGTGGATTCTTCGTCTGATCCGGTTGCTGAAGCCCAGCTCCCTGTTCAAGCAAGTTGCCTTACACCCGAGTTGCCGCCACTCCAGGCCAAATACAAGGACCAACACAATGACTCACTCCTGGACCAACAGCTGGACCAACTTCAGATCAAACTCCAGAACCCACCACTGGCTGATTGCCACACTGGCACTCCTGGACCAGCCAGTTGGCTGCTCGCCGCCAATGCAGCACTTGCTTTGTTGGAGGTGCAGGACTCATTCCAGGCCCATGAATACCGGTACCGGTAGGAGCTTTTTCGGACCTCCAGGCCACACTACCGGAACCGTACCAGTATCGGCCCCGCACCTCTCTCGCCGAGGTGTACGTACCATTCGATGCATGATCCTCGTTGACACTACATGTACGTGCAAGCAAGGCCTGGGGACGAACTTTGGAGCTCCACTATGCACACAGCTTTGGCTATACAAATTAGATCAGAGACCTTTGCTACAGAAATGCATTACTATTGCTTTTATTAAAGAGCTCAGTTGTCCGTCAGGAGTGCACCGGTAGGACTGACGAGCACAATCCAAAGCTGACCCCGTAAAAGCTCTCTCGTAACATGCAAACCACACGCGCCCACCATCTCTTTGGAAGGGACCACCGGAAACCCCAAACTAGCAAGATGCTGTCAACGAACGGAAAATAGATAAACAATCAAACACACAGAGGCACCAAACAACCCTGAGCCATTGAGCCCATTCCTGCGCCTTATTTGCCACGAGTACTCCTTCGCAACGATCTCGTTTGGGGGGCGGCATCTGAGGATTCTTCTTGGGCCTCTGCGGCTTCTTTCTTTCCCCTCTTGCTTCTCGTGAGTCGGACTTCCTCTTCAGCCTGCTCCTCCTTCTCGCTTCCTTCTTCGTCATCGTCCCGCTTGCGCTTATTGCTTGTGTCCTTTCGCGTCTTACTGGTTGGCAGCACGCGTTCTTTGGATGCTTTCGTCGAAGCCTCATCCAGGTTGGGTTTCTCCGAAGATTCTTCTTCGTCTTTCGCCGCGTCTTCTTCGTCGTTCATGTCTTCATTCTTGTCTTCGGCATCCTCATCTTTCTTGCTCTCGGTATCACCATCTTCTTCGTCTTTCTTGTCTTCAGTCGATTCTTTAGAATCTTTCGCTGCCTCTTCTTCTTCGTCTTTCTTGTCTTCAGTTGCCTCGTTCCTGGCATCATCGCCTTCTTCGTCTTTTTGGTCTTCGGTTGGCTCTTCCTTGTCCTCGGCATCGCCAACTTCTTCGTCTTTCTTGTCTTCAGTTGGCTCTTCCTTGTCCTCAGCATCACCATCTTCTTCGTCTTTTATGTCTTCAGTTGGTTCTTCCTTGTCCTCGGCATCATCAACTTCTTCTTCCTTCTTGTCTTCTGTTGCATCTTTCTTGTCCTCGGCATCATCAACTTCTTCATCTTTCTTGTCTTCGGTTGATTCTTTCTGATCTTCGGCATCATCAAATTTTTCAGGGTCGTCTTCTTCTTCAGCCGATTCATTGTCTTTCTCCTTGTCCTCGACTCCAGCAGTGTCTTCCTTCTCTTCAGTTGGAGCAGCGTCCTTCATTTCAGTGTCTTCCTGCCCTTTGGCTTCGGACTCTGCCTCTTCCTTGTCGGCTTTGGCCTCCTCTTTTGCTGGTTCGGCTTCCGCCTTTTCCTTGTCGGTTTCGGCATCCTTCTCCTCAGTTGCCTCCATTGCCTTGTCGGTTTCGGCATCCTTCTCGCCGATGCCTTCCGTTTCCTTGTCTTCTTTTGGTGCTTCTTCCTTCTCGCCAGTCGACTCAGTCTTGGACTCTTCAGCAGGTTTTGCCTCGTCACTGCTCGCTGGCTTCTTGTCGTCGCCATCGTCGTCAGTGGTAACTTTCTCTTCTTCCTTGTCGTCGGCACTAGGATGCTTGGGAGACATGGGGCCGCCACCCATCATTGGCGGCGCACCACCGCCCATTTGCTGTTGCATTCCAAACTGTTGCGGGTACTGCATCGGATCCATGTGCCATCCACCGCCCTGAGCTGCAGCAGCCGCCTCGCCTTCCTTGCTCTCACCTCTGCCGTTGTTGCTGTTATTGTTGTTGAAGTGAGCCATTTGCATTCTCATTTGCTGAGCCATGAATGCTTGTTGTTGAAGGTACTGCTGTTGCTGCCACCACTGCTGCTGTTGCAACCAGGAAATCTGCTGCGGTGTGGCTCCCTGTTGACGGGCCATGGCAAGTTGTTGTTGGTGCATCGCCATCATTGGAGGAGGAATCTGCGGAGCAAAGCCATCCATGGACATGTCATCGGGTTTCTTGTCGTCCGAGTCCTTCTTGTTCGGATCCGACTCATGATGATCACCATGCTTGCCGCCGTCGTCACCTTCTTTCTCATGCTGGCCATACTGAGCCATTGCCATTTGTTGTTGTTGCTGCTGCTGTTGAGCCATCATCATCATGTAATTCTGTTGCGCGTTGGCAAACATGGCCTGCTGACGAAGGACCGCTTGTTGTTGATTCATGGGTGGCAATGCACCAGCAGCCCCAGCACCCCACGCCTGTGCGGATTGTGCCGCCCCTCCTTTGCCTCCCTTCTTGGGACGGCCTCGACGACCTTCGCCCTTTTTGTTGTCCTCGGACATGAGTTTGACGAGGTGAGGCGCATCTCGTTTGAAGTTGATGTTCTTGAACGCCATACTAGCGTTGTCAGTCGCATTCATGGGGTGGGAAAAGAAGCGACGAAAGCCCCTGGAGTTGATGGAATGGAGTTGTGAGAGGCACTGTGAGAATTGGACGACAAAACTAGCTAGTAGAGGGATGGCTCTTCCAACCAACAGCAGACTTGACTTACCATCTGTTGAGGTTCCTGGTGATACTGGTGAACTTGTTTCCACGAAAGTACTTGTTGAGCACCCTATCTTCAAAGAGAGGTTTGTTGATCCCAAAGGAGTCCCCTTCAGGGAGCCAAAAGATGGCCTGTGGTTCACACTTGTACTGAAGCAGTCTCATGAGCTTTTCCGGAAAGGATGGCGCCGTATCAATCACTTTGCGCATCTTTGCCACATCTGTCACTCCATCCTTTACCACTTCGGCAATACTCAAGCCATCTCCTACAGCCGGTGCTGCAGGTTCGTCTTTCTTGGCTGCCTCTGGCATCTTGCTGTCCTCTGGTTTAGCAGCAGCAGCAGCCATTGGCTCTTCACCACTTCCATCGTCCTTTGGTTTGCCCGTCACGGTGGCAATGGGTTGATCGTCCTCGTCTGACCCCGCCTCGCGACCGGTGCGGGCTGCCGCAGCGTATGTAGAAAACGTACCAGAGTGAGTTCGAGTGGTTCGAATGCGCCGTGCGCGCCAATTCTCAAAGAAAACATAGCAAAAAATGAAGGCGACTTACCGGACGAACGGGTCGACCTTGTCATTGTCAAGGCTATCAATAATAAGGAGAGACTTGTTGCTGGTGTTGTTGTTGTTGTTGTTGTTGCTGGACTGGAGAGGGTTGTTGATGTCAAGGTGAGGTTTGTTGCGGTGAAGAAAGGAAATGAGATTTTGCCATTGGAGCTGTTCGCTAGAGAACCTCTAATCCTTTTCACAGGAGGGCTGGCTCGTAGGGACATAAGGGGTGCACTTCTAAATGATTATCTTCCAAGACAATGCGTTGCCGATGCGACATGTCTAAATCTTCCGATTCCTTAATAGATTTAGAGGGAAGTTAAATGGATTTGCCTAAGTAATTTTACTGTACAAAATGCAGTAGTTGGTTCTCTAATTCTTGCGGTTCAACGGAACAGACTATGGCAGTAAGGGTCATTTGCCAACATGATCTCTCATAGTCCAAATCATCTTCTTGGACTTAAGACGCGTCCCTCGTACGTCAGTCTGTCCTTCGAGGCGGTTTTGGCTTGCCAACTTCCGTCATCTCGGTGTTCAAGAAGAGTCGAGTCGAGTCAAAGAAGCCACAAGAGTGGAGAGCTCGTGATGTCACTCTCCACCTCAGCAAAACTGTGCTGCTCGTCCTTTTGTGAGAAGCCTTCTTTGTGATCATTCATTGTAGGCCCATTTTGACGCTCTCTCCTCCACCATCCACCCGAAGACTGCACAGAACAGCTCGTTGTTTGCCCCGCACTTCCGCGAAAATTTACTTAATTAATAACTTCGCTCTCTGGCTTTAGGATCGCTCCAGACGCAGCAAGTAAGTCAAAAGTCAAGTCCAGGCTTCATGCACAATGCACAGCACACTGTATGTACCGGTACGCTTGAGATACCCCTGCTAATAACCAGTTAGATAGCAGCTAGCTAGCTAGCTAGCTAGAGCCTGTCATGCCAGTCCTGGTTTCTGCGCAACAGAGAACACATCATCCCCTTACCAAGACTTTTACTGCTCCTCCAGTAATTACTGAGTACTTGAGCAGCTGGATTGAGAAGCTCAGCGTCTTTTCATCTTCTTCTTTATCAATCAATCGATAAACTATAAATTGCTGCGTGGAAACAGAGCTGGTAGCAGTATGGTGGCCAAACGGCGGCCAAACAGCAATTACCAATAATATAATAATTACTGTACGACTGTAGTCTACCTGGTACAGCTGCAATCAACCCAATCGCTTTTCACTTCTGCTTCATCTTATTGTAAGTTAGTTGATGAGCTAGACGTCTAGACCTGGAGTTGGTGAACAGCCGAGCTCAAGAGGAGATTGGTGAAAAGCGAACCACGAAAACGCACATAGTTCTTTAGTTTTGGTGGTCAACGCTCAGTAACTTCATGGTGCTCTTCATGGACAGTGGACAGTGCGGCTTATCGATCCCAACTTCGAAGCGAGCTTTTACAATGATACCGGTACATGCATCTGGTATCTGGTCCGGTCTTGTTTATTCCATTTACAGGACATGTTCCATTCTTCGCACTGGTGCTTGATGCTTGGTGCCATTATTTATTTACTTGCACCTTCTCGCCAATATTTATTTATTTGCTCTTCTTTTTGTTGGAGGAGCAACGCAGTACAGACAGAAACAGAGATTTCCACTGGGATAAATCGGCTGGTAATCTCGGTGAGATCTTCTGATCCATTTAAGTCTATATTTTCCGCTGTAACATCAACTTTGCACTCACTTGCACTCACTTGCAGTGTTACAGCTATGTTACTAAGCAGGTTTTGCTCCAAAACGAGTCACGACAGAAAGCAAGAAGACTGAAGAAGCAGGAATTCTCCAAAAAGCATCTTTTCACCCTTTTTGATTGGATTTAAAAAGGAGTGCTGATGTTGGACACTACTACTAGTTTAGTAGGGCCTTTTTTTGGTTTGGCCATCCCCAAAAGGAAGTTAAACTGTGTTCTGTGTTGCTTGACCATTGAATCGATTCGATGCATCTGCATCTTCAGAGAGCTCTTCACCAGAGTACTAGTAACACGACTGTCACAGACTCTTGTCACTCAGTCCAATTCTAAAGTACTAGCTAGCTAGCTAGGTGGTTCAGTTGGATAGCTGTTGGATTGACTTGTTGAGGCTCGAAAGCTCCAGCTCTCCATCCTCGAAAATTCAAGATCCCACGAGCTCTAGACTAGTACTGGTATCGGTAGGGGCAAAAGTTTACTCCGGAGTACTAGATGGTAGTAGTCAAGTTTATCATAGCATGAGTTTTTTTTACGCCCTATTTTATCAGTGGTTACGCTGGTTCCGTACTCAAAGCAAATCGAATCATTCAATCTGATCTTTTGGGGGCAATTCCGTCACTGTCAAAGATTTTTGTATCTTCTTCCTACGGGGCTACGGGCTGTTGCATTTCAAGTGCGGCAGTGCACTGGACCAAAAGGTCGAATAAGTAATCCATGCCAATGCAGGATTCCGCAGTTCTACTGTTCTGGAGGTCTGCAGAATGTGAAGCTTTGGGCGGAAATAATGTCCGACTTGCTTCGTTCGAGTTCGCATAATTCTCCACTTGCAAAAGGTATAAAGAGGTAAAAACACCAAGAGTCATCCCTGCCTTTGTTCTGCACAGCGGTACTGTGAACACTGGGGGATACCTTGGAAGTCCCAGTATTGAGATTCCACTTGTGGTGTCTCTTGTTCTCTTGTTGTTTGTCGTTTGGCCACTTACTCGTACTATTAATACAGTCAGCTAGCTATTAGCTGGTACCTGGTAATAGTAGCTAGCTACGCTAGCAAGGTAGCCAAAAGCACTATGATAACATAACTACTCAGATCTAGAGTCTGGGAGTAGTACTGACTTAAAAACAGCGCAATAATTCTACTAGTATATTCAGTAGTACTCTTACTGTAGGTTTGGGAGTTGGGAGTGGTTTGGGGTATAATACCACCGTCACGGGTGACCTCAGCTGTTTTCCTTGAAGGAACAGAAAAAATTATTATACCCGTAGCCAGGACATTCTCTCAGTAGGAGTAATATGTGCGACAAACTATCTCTCCTAGCTAGCTAGAGTTTCTGCTCGGAGACTGGGATCGGAGTGCTTTGGTTTTAAAGCGTCGTTGAAAGACTTTTTGGTGAGAAGTTAGACTGTCACTCAAGTTATTTATTCTGGAGTGCGATGGTTGAATTGCCAAAGGTCGGTGCAGTCAGAATGCCAGAAGATCTCATTGATCCAAGACTTGAGACACACATCATTAATTTTTGCCTAGCTCGCTCGGTCACAGCAAAGCTCAGCAACCATTGCAGTGCCAACGACAACTTTTCACCGCTGAGACAGCTGTGAGACAAATAAAGGAGTCAAGTAAGTAAAAGCTAAGGAGCACCGGTTAGCTCCGGTTCCCACTGGATCTGCCAAGCTATCTGCCACTACTCCTGATACTGGCGGTTGGCGACTGAGAGCGGCCAGTCGAACTGGGAGATCATACTAGTTAGTTGAGGCTATGATTTAACAGGTGGTGATGCAGGTCGGAAGGCCTTCCTCTTCTGTCTAGAGGCTCTTTTGTTGGAGAAATCTGCTTGGTACGATGTGACATCTTCCCCCTGCTGTGTAGGCTCGCTACAGTAGTCTACAGGGGCTCTACAGGCAAGAATCTATGGACCACAGTTCGGTTGAACTTTGAGCTTCGAAGAGAGGACAGCGGTTGTCCAAGCGAACAAGAACCACGCCATGCCTGTGCTTTGAGACCAGCCATTCGAGAATCCTTCGTATGTAGGTTTGTACCAGGTTGGGTCTTTGTGTTTTTCTCTCGTATGTAGACTTGTACCAGCGCCGATTCGACCGCTAAAATCTGTGTAGGTCTGGTACAAACATCCACAGGCACTCCCTTTTTGTACCAGCTCTACAGGGCTCTACGCAGTCTTCAAAGACTCCACTTTTGTACCAGGGCTACACAGCCTACGCAGATTAGTTTTGTACTGGATGTACACAAATCCTACGTTCTATTTTTTGTACTGGAGCTACACAAAATCCTACGAGACTTTCTGAGTCTCCCAGCAAACCTCGCAAACCCAAAAATCACTCTCCAAGCCAAAACTCTCAAAAAATTTGCTTTTTGCTTCCCTTGCCAAGCAAAAACTCACTTGTTGACTTGACCCGAGCCAACAAAACTCTCTACCAACCTTACTCAAAGTCAACCATCATACACTTGGTGGTTCTTTGCGTTGTTGCTTCTCATCCCCCCATCCCATCAGCAAGATTACGACAAACGGCAACGATCGTGCCCATCAGCAGCCACAGGAAGAGCAGAGTGAAGTGTCGACCATGAAGAGGATTCTTTTGGGTCGAAGCGGAACTGGTGGTGGTGACTCGGGTATGTACTACTGAAGGCAGTCGTATGGCTGGTCTTGTCTTGTCTTGTTTGGACTAGATGGTTGTCTCTTGACCAATGACTCACTCACACACTGTCTCTCTCTCTCTCTCTCATCATTTGGCCACCGAATCAATCCACGAATTGTGACTCGACTCGTCGCGCAGCCCTTCGTCGGTTGAAAAAGCCTTGGCATAAAAGCATGGAAGCCGATGACGAACAGGGCCGTCACAGGCTCGTCTTGGAAGGGCAAGATGAAGAAGACGAAAAAATGACTGGCGATGATCAAAAGAGGTCAACCGCCGAGGACGACCAAGACGAGGAGGAAGAAGAAGAGGAGGAGGACGAAGAGGACACTCACGCGGAAGACGATGACAAGGACAGCTCCGAGTCCACCGAAGAGACCGAGAGGACGGAAGAAGACAAGCACATGGAAGCTGCCGCGATGGATATGACGGCTCTGGCGGCCGCTGCCAAGAGAAGCCACGAACAAGAGATGGGGCCGGCTTCCAAAAAGCAGAAATTGAAGGATGCGGCCGCCGCCAGAGCTGCTCAGGAAGATCACGAAAAGGCCGCGGCGGCTTCGGGAATTGCGCTGCTCTTGGGAAATGCCAACAAGGCGCTGGGACTCAAGGCGCCAGAACCGGCTCCTGCTCCCGCCAGCAGCAAGACTTCGTCGGAGCCCAGTAGTAACAAGTCCAGTCCTTCCAAGTCGTTTGGTGGAGCTTCTGGTAGCAAGGGTCCTACATCGTTTGAGATGTGGAAAAAGCGCAAGATGGAGAAAAGCTCTTCTTCTGGAGGTAGAAACACACCTACCAAGACCCTCGATACTTCCAAAATCGGCAACCGACCAGCTCCAGCTGTGACTTCGCCAGCTCCGCCGCCTCCTGTAGCGGCTCCCATTGCCCCTCCAGAGCCCGCCCCTGCTCCACCACCGCCAGCTCCCTCTCTGCACGATCATTTGCGAGATGAAGATAACGACGCCGCTGAAGCTTTGAAGGCCATTATGCAGTTGGGACAGCGCCCTCCCTTGCCCATGGCGGCTCCCGCTTCGCCTTTGCCTCCGCCACAAAACAATAGTGCCATGGAAGCCATGTTGGCAGAGGCTGCCAAAGCAAAGAGCCCCAAGCCCGCATCCTCCACTCCAGCCAAGATGATGAGCAAAAAGCCATTGCCTACCAAGCGTTCCCGTTCGTTTGGGAATGGCAGCGACAGTCCGCCGAATGCCGGTGTGCCTTCGGCGCCCCCGCCGGCTGCTTTGGCGCCTCCCCATCAACCATCTCATCAGCCTCCTCCTCACGCTGGCATGACGGCTGGTATGATGAATTTCGCCAACATGGCGGCGGCCATGGCAGCAGCTGGTGCACCCATGCCAGCCCCTCCTCAGCCGCCCGCTCCTGCTCCTATCAGCACTAGTAGTACCACCACTACTAGCACCAAGCCACCGAAAGCACCCAAGAGCAGCAAGAAATTGCAACAGGGACCACCCACCAAGAAGAAAAAGGTCGTGTCCAAAGATGGCAAAAAAACAAAGTCGGGAGACAAGGTCAAGAAAGTCAAGGGAGAAGGCAAGAAAAAGAGCAAATCCAGTAGTGCCAATGGCAGTGGTGGTGGTGGAGAAAAGACCAGTCGCAAACCGCAGGCATTGCCCGAAATACTCATGGATTTGCTCAATAAGAATGTGGCGCCGGATGCCATTTTTTGGCTGGGAGGGACACAGATTTTTGCCATTAACAAGGACAATTTCAAGAAAAAGGTGATTCCCAAGTTTTTTAATGGGAAAACCTTTACCAGTATCACCAAGAGCTTGAACCTATGGTATGTTTGTATAGTGTCGTGCTTTTGGCTATTTTTGTTATATTGTGATTTTGATGTTGGCACTAACACACTTCTTGTATTATTCTACTGCAGGAACTTCACCAAGGCTCCCAAACAGCAGTTGCCTCCCAATACCGTAGGATACCATCATAAGCTATTCCAGAAGGATGCCCCACACCTTTTGAAGCAAATGGTGGAAGGAGGCGGCTCGGGTGAACAGGCACCTTCCGGAGGAGCCTCGCATGCTGCGGCACCTGTGCCACCTCAACAGCAACCCCCCGAGCCCCAATTTCCCCCGCAACAACAGCAGGCACCCGCTCCTTCTCAACAGCAACAGGTGCAGAATATCCCGACGCAATTGAACGCTATGCCCAGGCCAGCCGTTCCAAAGAAGCCCAAGTCACCCTCGCCTCCTGTCATGATGAACTCCACGATGAACTCCATGATGGTAGAGCAACCAAAGCCAGTCGCACCCTCGCCACGATTGACACAACCTTCACCCGCGCAGGCTGCTGCTAACATGGTTACCTTGGCCGATATTGCTGCGAATGCCCGTCCTACCGGTTCCGGGGTATCACAGTCCGAAGCGCAGGCTCAAGCCCAAGCTCTTCAGGCACATCACCAGGCAGCAGCTGCGGCGGCTGCTGCAGCAGATCCCCAGCGGGCTGAACTGGAGGCTTTGCAGAATCGCAGTCTACAGCTAGCCGCGGAACGCGAGGCACTCATGCAGTCCATGTTGGGAGACCAACAGTCGAGTTTGGAATTCTTGCGCCAGCGCCAAGCTGCGGGAGCAGAGGGCGCCGGTGGAGTTGACCAGCAGTCTGCTCTGGAACTCTTGCGCCAGAGGCAAGCCGCTGCGCAAGCTGCCGGAGATCAACAGTCTCAGTTGGAGTTGCTTCGTCAGAGACAAGCTGCCGCGGGAGGTGGCGCAGGGGCTGGTGGTGCAGGAGGAGCCGCCCAGGAGCAGGCATCTGCATTTGAGCTTCTTCGACAGCGCCAAGCGCAAGCTGCTGCTGCCGAGGAGCAGTCTAGTTTGGAACTTCTCAGACAGAGACAAGCGGCAGCCGAAGAACAATCCACATTGGAGTTTCTTCGCCAGCGACAAGCTCAGGCTGACGAGCAGAACAATCTCGAGTTGCTCCGACAACGACAAGCTCAGGCTGAAGAACAGCAATCCGCCCTTGAATTGCTCCGACAGCGTCAAGCGGCTGCCGGTGGTGGTGAACAATCAAACTTTGATCTCTTCCGACAGCGACAAGCGATGGATGTTGAATACCTGTTGGAGCAGAGGAGAGCAGCATTGGAGGCTGAGAACGCTCTCGCGGAACAACAGCGTGCCGCTGCAGTGGAAAGAGCATTGGCGGAACGTGTCATGTTGGAGCGCGAACTACTTGGCGGAGGCGGTCTTGGTGGGCTCGGCGGTCAACTTGGAGGAGGGCAAGGCCAAGATCAACTTTCCCTTCAGCTCGCCCAGTTGAGGGGCCAACAAGGCCAAGGGGGTGGCGGCGGAGCAGGTGGTGGTGTTGATCCAGTCATGTTGTTGGCGCTGCGACAACAGCAGGAAGCTGCCCGCAACAATAATGCCCTCGAGGAGCTGTTGCTCTTGGAACAGCAGAGGCGACAACAGGCTGCGCTTCAAGCTCTCATGTACAACCACCGAGGAGGAGGTGGTGGTGGAGGAGGCGGAGGACTTTAATCCTTTGCTCTGACCATTATTGTGCCGTTTTGTATTGTTGAATGCCTTCTGTATGGAATGAATGGACTTGAACCGGACTACCAACAAACACTGTCACCGAATTATTAAAGTATTAGTAAGAAAATTATTTGGTTGCTACTAAAGTTACATGTCTTGTAATCGAAGTCGCGGCAGCACATTCATCGCTTGAAGCTCTTGGAATAGCAGCTTGCACGCGTACGGGAGCCTTATGTCAACCACCTTCTCGCCGGAGCGGCACATCTGACACCAATTCTGATACTGAAGCAAACCACACGTCATGCAAACATTAGCAGAGAACGCATCAGAGCTATGCATGAGTCTCTCCATGATTAGATTGGATGCTCCGTAAGCAATCAGACAGTCTCGTTCCATCTCTCCCAAACGCAAACCTCCATCTCGAGAACGGCCTTCCGTGGGTTGTCTTGTCAGTACTGCCCTCGGTCCTCGAGCTCGAGCATGGGCCTTGTCCAACACCATGTGTTTCAACTTTTGATAAAAGACGGGCCCAGAAAAGATGTAGGCATCCAGTGGTTCGCCGCTTGCTCCGCTGTACATAATGTCCTTGCCAGTATAGTTCAAGCCGGCTCGAATCAAAGCCTCCGCTGCACCAACCTCCGTGTCCGCGGAACCATGCTCTTCGCCAAAGGCACTGGAGTATCCTTGCCGACCAACGTACAGACCCGACTTGCCCACGAGAAGCTCCAACAGCTTGCCCACTGTCATTCGGGAGGGGAAACCGTGGGGGTTCATGATCATATCCGGTGGATGCCCCATCTCGTTGAACGGCATGTCCTCCTGCGGTACGATCAGACCGCAAACACCTTTCTGTCCGTGTCGGCTGGCAAACTTATCTCCGACCTCTGGGCGACGCACCTGTCGCAGCATTACTTTGATAAGAAATTGTTCATGTTCGTTGGAGGTGATCAGAACCTTGTCCACATATGTGGGACAAGCCCCACGATAACCCATACCAGAATACTTGTACTGCATATTGGCAGGAGCTCCCGTGCTGACGGCGCCAAACTCCATACCGCCCATGTTGCTGTTAGTAGTGTCTAGGGGCGATTCTTTGTTCACCATGATGGAGCCACTATCCATAAATTCACCCACGCGACAGATCCCGTCTTTGTCAATGGCTTGGTACTTCAGAAAGCGTTTGTCGTTTTCTCCGTCGGGAAACTGAGTTGGATCGGGCGGTCCACAAGTCCGGTCCATCGCCCCGTTTGCATACCGACGAACGCTAGTTTGATGCTTCTTGAACACCATACAACGGCCGTAGCCTCGGTCGATTGCTGCCTTGTTCAGGATCACAGCATCCTCAATATCGTAGCCAGTATATGACATGACAGCAATGCACGCGTTTTGACCTCCAGGGATGTTGTCAAACTCAATGAGATCGAGAGTACGACTCTTGACAAGGATCTTTTGAGGGTAGACTGTCGTATAGATAAGACCGTCCATGCGAACATATTCGTTGATTCCAATCGTTCCCATGGCTTGTTTTGACATAGCAACTGTGTACGTGTTTCGGGGCGCCTGGTTGTGATGTGGGTACTGTAAAAATAAGAAAGAGCAGATACTTGGTGAGCCCACAACACAGTGACATGCACACCACTGAGACACACCAATATGAGACTTGAACCATCGTAATAGATACGCACCGGAATGATACCACCAACAATCCCAAGGATGGAAAATGGATCCACCTCCAAGTGAGTGTACTGTTTTCGTTTCTTTTGCGGGTGGTATTCTGCCAGACGCAAGGCCACGGCCAAGTCATTTTCGGTCACGGCAATGAGCGTGTTGTTCTCTTCGTTACAGTCAACGTACTCCACGACCCCTTCGTGTAGCAAATCCTGCACATCCATTGTTCCAAGTGCCAGGGCTTCCAGATGCCGCTGTTTCAACTTGGGCAGGCCCGTGTTTGGATCTACTAAAATGAGAGGACGACAGACCCGTCCACCGTCCGTGGCAATGTGAACGACACGCTGTTCTGGGTGGAAGTAGACCGACACGAATTCTCCCGCCCCAATTCCTCGTCGTCTCATTTCTCGTAGATTTGCCACCAACTTGTGTGGCTGCGTATGAGCACCCAAAATGATACCATTCAAGAATACCAACGAAGCCTGTGTCGCGTTAATCTCATGGCCCGTCATACGGTGCACATCTTCCACACCAAGGTCACGACACAATCGTTCAATGGGTCCAGTGTCATCCTCGTCCGTGGTAATGTGTCCCAACAAGGCCAAATTCTTGACCAACCCACAGGCTTCTCCTTCGGGTGTATCGGCGGGACAGAGCATACCCCACTGCGATGGCTGCAGCGATCGCGGACCACTGACCTTGCGCGTTTTTTCAAACTGGCTATTGATGCGTGTCATCATACCAATGGCCGACATGTAACTGAGGCGTGTCAACACTTGCGTGACACCGGCGCGATCCATGCGGAATCGTTTCAAAACCCAATTTCCCGTGGCAATGGAATTGATCATACCGTTCGAAATGGTATCGGTTCGAATACTCTTGACGACATCAAATGCTTGTGCTCGATTGGCTTTTTGCAGCACCATATCCGCTTGTCGTTTGAGATCGTTGTTGAATAACTTGAACAAATCCTCAAAGAGCAGCGACATTAAGTTCCCGGCCAATTCGAGACGTTTGTTACCATAATAATCCTTGTCGTCAAAGGGCAACTTGCCCAAATGGACCAACAGCACACGACGGGTAATGTGTCCAATAAACACCGCCTTGGTTCGAAAATTGAATTTGTGCACTGGGACATGACTGAGTACGACGTTGGCGAGTACATCTCGTGCTTCTTCTTCCGGCAATTGTGGTTTGCGATATCCAAACGCTCGTGCATTGGACCGTCCTCGAATCTTGTTTCCAATGTACCGTAATGCCTGCGTTTGCGTATGAATCCCCAATCGAGCGGGTTCTTCCAGACTGAGCGCCAGGGAATTCAAAATATAATCTTCACTACCGACCAACTGTACCATTTCCAAATCCGATTCAATGCCCATGGCTTTCAAGACAATCGCAATGGGGATATCATCTCCCAGAGTATTGTTTTTGAGATAGACGCGTCCATGTTTCATGACGAGATACGCCTTGCTTTTACGTTCATGAGTACTGGAAGTGATACTAGCGGAAACGAATCCCTTTCCATCTTCTTCTAGAATGACACGATTTTTGGACAATTGTTCTTGAATCAAAATGACCTTTTCATTTCCCTTGACGACAAAGTAACCACCGGGATCGTACGGACATTCCTTCATGGCCGCCAATTCGGCTTCGGTCTTGTCGCGTAGCACGCATTTGCTAGACCGTAACATGATGGGGACCTACCAAACAAACGGACGGGTTTCAACGTCGAGTTAGATAAAGAAGAATCGAGCAAGAACACACGCCATGTCATGCCATGTCCAACCACCAAAAGCAAAAGTAATCAATCCAAATCAAATAACTCACCCGCCCAATCATAACTTTGCGTTTGACCACAATTTGTCGTCCCCGCGTATATCGCACATTGACATAGAGAGGCGCACTGTACGTGGCATCCCGGAGCCGACATTGAAAGGGTGTCACGGTCGCCAACGAATAGGAATCTTCTTGGACGGATGGTTCTCCCACCCAACAATCCGTGTACCGCAGATAAAATTTGGGATCGTGATCGGATCGTATTTCGCAATTGGACGGCGATTGGACGATTTGTTTGAGTTCGACATTGGTGAAATGATCAAAACTGTCAATGTGTTGTCGTAAGAGCGATCGGAGGCGTAAAAAGTGTGGCAGCAGACGCCACTTGTCTTTGAGGGCTCCCACGGGAGCATCGTCCGGTGTTTTGGTGGATCCATAGTCGTGATGGGTTTGAGAAAAGGGTTGTTCTTTTGTAGTAGTAGTAGTACTAGCTGGAGTAGTAGTGGCAGAAGAGGACGACACGGGTGTATCAGCGACAATGCTGTCCTTCAATTTCGTCGTGCTACTACTACTAGTAGCAGCAGTCGCCGTACTAGCGCTGGGAGTGTTGAAGGCTCCCATGGCGGACTCTTTGGCGATCAATCCAATGGAATCGATTTCATCAATGGTTTCTTGACCATAGACGTGATTGTACTTGTGCTTGGGGAAGTCGATGGGTGGCAGATTCTGGTTCCTCCATTGATGCCATTCTTGAGTTTCCTCTTTGCTTTTCTCGGTAGAGTCCAAACATCCACCAAACGGACTGGCTCGCACTTGACCCCATTCTTGGACTGTCGTTTTTCGATTGGGATTCTCCCACCAGTTTTTGGAAGAACTGTCCGTTGCTTCTTTGAGCGATGATTTACTACTAGTACTACTACTACTGCTTTTGGCAGCCATCAATTGCGCCTTTAACGCTTTGGGAAGTTTCTTGAGCAGCAATACGTCCAAACTGTCCATCAAAGCATCGTGGCTACTCATGGGCACATCGGCTTGGACAGCAGCAGCAGTACCAGCACTCTCCTTTTCCACATCATTGTCACTACTACGATTCCTCCTCGTCGTTTCCTCGGGATCCTTCTTGACGGCCGCCTTTTTCTTGCGCCCCTTGGGAGGCATCTTTCCAATTCTGGGTTTGCTTGATTATTTGTGGTCGTCTTGGATTTTTGTTTTCGTGGTCAAGATCGCGAGATGTGTGGACGATTGGAGGGTGAGAATCTATGGAAGCCAGCAGAACGGCAATAATGTTGGCGGGTGAGGGAAAATCAACGCGTTTTCTTGGGCCTAACACTTCTTTACAAAGACATGAGTGGAGTCGAATCTTCGAACACGTTGGACAGCCAAGGATAGGTACTAGTACCATAACGGAATTCAGAAGTGGCCAAATCCCGACACTGCTAAGTCTGCCTCCCTGACAAATAAATCTAGAAGTAGTCTAGTCAGGGTGGTCTGGAATCGATCAATCAAAGGTGAGTCTCTATCCTGTCAACTGGTTCATTTGCTGCTTGCGGCAAGCAATACCCACAGGAGCCTACGATGTACCGTACGGTAGGAAAGGAGACAGCTAGCTACCATAATAAATAGCAGTCTCCACTACAAACACCAGAGCCATCTTATCCTACCGTAGCAATGGTTGTCACTGAAACTCTACTGGGGCAGGCAGTAGTCTGCAGCATCACCATCACAACACAGAATGCAACAAGAGCACTCTACCTTGGGATCACCTCTGCCATCCCTTGGCAAACAGTCAGCTGCCACTTCAAATGTGCGCTTTGTGGGCTCTGCCAGAGTGCAGAGAGACGATGGAATGGAACCAGAAATGCCATTCCCATTCACAATAAACCGACGCAGCTGTGTCAGAGCAGAAAGCTGTGTTGGGATGGTGCCATGGAACTTGTTGTTGGAAATGTCAAACCATTGCAGCTTTGACAAAAGCTGCAGTCCAGTGCTGATTGTCCCAGTCAAGCCACAGTTGGAGACCCAAAGTGAAACTAAGTTGGTACATTCTGTAAAGAGTTCCTCTGGTAGGGAGCCATCCATATGGGTCCAACTGATATCAAGTTGATGGAGAGCACCTTGCAGAAGTCCAATTTCAGATGGGATGGTTCCGCGCAAAGGGTTCCCTTGCAAATGTAGGTCGACTCGATTACGTCCATGCAATGCTCCAATTTCAGTGGGTAGAGTTCCTGTTAGCTACAAAGCAAGGAAAGAGAAAGGGTGAGCTGTTCATCACAGTTAAGGGTCTTGACCAAGAGTTGAAGATCACTGACGTTCTTTTCCCAAGGAAAGGTTGTCATACCTTATTGTCATTGAAATGAAACGAATGGATTCTTTTTTCAGTCTGAAAGAGCTCTGTAGGAAGGGAACCAGACAAGCTGTTTAAACCAAATGCAAGTGTGACCCCATCAAAGAGTCCAACTTCTGTGGGCACTGTGCCTGTTAGTGAATTGTTTACGAGAGCTAATAAGGAGAGCTTGTTTCCAAACAATTCCACAGGAATACTTCCAGACAGGTGGTTGTTGAAGAGATTCAGTGAAGAAAGGGAAAGGAAGCTGCCATATATGCTTGGAACCGTGCCTGTCAGTTGATTCCCCTGAAAGAGTATTCTTGCCAGTGTGGAAAGACTTGAAAGTTCTGTGGGCAGCGGGCCGTTCAATCCATTGTTCCCTGATAATGAAAGCAAGCTAAGGATAAGTGCAGGATTCATGCATTTTGGTTCTTGTTGTGATCAGCAAAACATAGGAAAGAACTCACTGAGATCCAACCGAGTAACATCCTTCTCTCCATCACAATAAATTCCTCCCCATTGACATTCGTGAACACCTGTAAGCCACCTACTTCCAACTGATCCGGAAACATTGATATCAATCCAACATGTTTCATCGTTTGCAGTTTTAGATGGTCCACAGGCAAGCCAATCACTCTCCCGGGATGTTTGAAAGTAAGTCAATGACAAGATGAATCTCTGTAGAAGATTGTTGACATCTGGGTTGAGCTGCATTGGATCCTCAAACACAATCCAATCAAGAGCCTTGAGCTTTGGCTGGGAGGGTTCTGGTTCATCATTTTTGGGAAAATAGTCAGGTCCAAAGGCTTCTTCGATTCTGTTTTGAATGTCCACCTTAACAATGGATCGAAAGGAAGTGGGAGCCTGAGTCTCCATATCGCCTTCTTTGTTGCTGCAGAGACCAGCCCCACATATGGAACCAACAATCACTCCAACAACAAGAATGCTACCAATGAGGACAAGGATCATAAGAGCCATTGAGGTTGATTTGTTCTCCCCATGCAAATGGTCGGGTCTAGCAATCTGTGTTGGTTCTTCATTTTCTTCGACCTGGTTCGCCACTGCCAATCCATTATTGTTGCCTGGGGGAGTTGCGGCTTGGTCATCTGCCGTACTCTGATTCCTTGTGTTTGCATTTGATGTAAGCTCTTCAACATGAGAAGAAGAAGTAGCTCCCACCAATGAGCGACTGAGTGTTGTGGTTCTTTGGAGATCAGATCCAGGGACCGCTGTGTAGGCTCCTGGACGCATGGTAGCATCTGGCAGATTTTGTCCACAAGCCAACCTTGGTTGCGGAAAAGCAAGCTCGTCCTGTACTAGACCAATTTCTTCTTCTCTGGTTTCCTTTCCCGTGGAGTTGTCGCCTGCTGTGCTGGGACAGCCAGCTTCTGCTGATGGAGTTTTGCTGGTGGTAACTTGATGATAATTCTGTATTCGGTCTTGTACTACCTTCAAAATAGAGATATCATCTTCCTTTTCTTCTTCTTTGATTTCCTCTCCCGTGGAGTTGTCGCTTATTGTTGTGTTGGGATCATGTTGCGATGACTCGAATGACCTCCTCATTTCGGCTCTCTTCGATTGCTCATCTTCTCTCTGTTGCGCCTCCAATTCAAACGCTTCCAGCTTTCTGAGCTCCGCCTCTCCATTGTCCCCTTGGCTTCTGCCAGCCACAATGTCCATCAACTCTTCCTCATCACGTTTTGGGCTGCAGAAGTTTCCATTTTTGCTGTATACCACTCTCTGCAATTGCCTTTGTCGCCGTCGTGTGACAATTGAGCTGGTGGAATTCCGCTGCGGCCTCTGAAGCTATCGACTGGAATTTGGTTTGGGTTAGGGTTAATGTCCTTGCACTTCGCGTGCGATTGAACCGGAACAACTATAGTTAGAGCTAGACTCTAGCTAGGTAGTCTAGTAGCTACCAGTAGAGTATTTCACGAAGAAAAGGCTGTGGAGGCACAATGTATATCGAGACACATTTCCCCCTTCTTGGAGAAGCGGGGGTTTAGAGTGGGGAAATTATCTAGCTAGGGAAGCCAGCCAAGGCCAGGCTTTTAAAAAAGCAAAGAACAGTGGAAATTCATGACTAGCTAGCTAGGTTCTGTGGGATCAGGGGTAAGAAAGTGAGGACAATTATGGGGGCCAAATGGTTTGGCTTTGCGAGATCCACATAGACATAAATGGGTAGCTTCTTGGTGAGATTTGGATTCAGCATGATGTCGGATCCATGGGAAGTTACTATGGCTTAGAGGGACCTATGGTGAGGATGGGGTGCAGAGAGACGAGGGCAGGATGCAGGAATGTGGAATGCGCGCACATATTCGAGTGCACAATCAAGGCAACACCGAGACAAAAGAAGGAGCAGGGGGCACCGGAGGAGGGCAGGGAGGAAGACCAGCGGAAGAGATCAAGAGCTGAATGCGTAGCAAGCTTGAGAGCTGGAAGACGACTGCCTCTGAGGCACATTGTTGCAGCACGAGCGAGGGCATTGCTCAACCTTGCAGAATGAAAGAGCGGACCACAGAGCAGGGCTTGGACCACTTGTGAGCCAAAAGCTGGGAGAGCCATTGGAGAACAGCAGTAGCTTTGACAGCAAAGAGGCCATCAGCAGAAACCACAAAAGGGGTGAAGTGTCGGTGTTGTGGTGTGGGCCCCTACAGCTAGAGCCCTTGGATGAACTGATTCAAGGAGACGAATTATTGAGGCTTCTGGGGGCTCAAGAACAAGTGCACTTCAAAACAATGACCGCCTGTCTTGGATTAATATTTGTGGTCAAGAAGTGTGGACGATAGATGCGGAGATTGAGAGGTGAGGATTGAGGATCCTACCACTGAAGCAAGCCAGCAGCAATTTTGCGTGGGTGCAGTCGCGAAGCAAAGATCCAGGCACAAAGAGGCTTGAAATGCGTTTGCAACGAACGGTTCCTGCATTGGCACCCTTACTGGCTGACCCATGTGAAGGTCCTGATGAGTTGTCTTTTGACTGTGTTGGGTCCTTTTGTGGCTGTGGCGGCCCATGTGGGGTAGCTAACCACTCGAACCAGCTAGCTAGATAGCTTTTCAAAGAGATTCATTCGATATTCATGTAACTACCTAGTTTCACACGGGGGCCAAATGGCCAATATTTTGATCTTGATCTTGTGAAGAAAACCCTTCTTATGACATGCCTCAATCCATTGGACAGCTCAGGTAGCTACTACCAAGTCTCAACCGGGATGCCTGGGTCGCAGAAGAAAACGTTTGGTTTCACAGTTTCTGAGTCCGCCATGAAGGGGCAACGACATCAGGGTGTTCCGCAATTCTTAGAACGACTGTCACTAATCTACATGTCTCTACCGGTAGCGAGCTAGACATCTTCCTGGCCAACACCAGTGCCTGTACATTGTGACAGGGAGGTTACTATGGGTTAGAGTGTTCTACCGGTATGGTGAGGACGACTGTGTAGTGGAGCTGATACATGTAGAGCTGGCTGCCACCGGTATAACCCTCTCCCTATATACAAGTCTCAATGCGAAAGATCTTCAAGTTCCTCCTGACACGCGCCGAGTTTCCGTTGCAGCCAGGTCATAAATTCTTCTAAAATTTTGAGTTGTCCTGAAAATTTTATTAGGCAATAAAAGTTTGCTTTGCACTCAATCGAGGATCAGAGACCATGATGAGGATCCATCTACATCCACTATTAGTGCCGCTCGTTCTTGTTTGGTTGCCTTGGGCCCAAGCCATTTGCTCCAAGGGCACGGATAACCCGGTGGTATGTGACACTACTACCAATAGGTGTGACAGCGAGACAGTGGTGGGCTGTGACGCTGTTACCTGTCAAACGGACAGCTGTGGCTATACCTCATTTATCGGCTCCAGTGTCACCTGCCAATCGACCGACAACTCGTGGGACAATTCGTGCAACTACGCCACCTTCAACCAAAGTCGACTGGACCTCGAGCAAAATGCGCAATGTCGCTACTGTCAGTTTTGGTTCTCGGCCGTCTCGGCAAATCAAGAAAACTCCATCACCGAGACGTCTGCCTACAATGGTCCCTCGTTTCAAGTTTGTTCGTGTTGTGAGGATCAAGGACAAGCCACTGGAGGGTGTCCACCCGACGTGCCTCGTTGTACAGAACTGGACTCCTTTTGTTCGGAGACGTATCTCTTTCGCTCTTGCAAAGACTGGGGAAATCCCGTCTGTGAGGACACAGTGGTAGAAACAGCAGAACCTGTTGTACTCCAGACCAACGCCACCACTTGTTCCGCCGGAGTGGACACGGTCTGGTGTACCGACCAAGATGCATGTGGCAACCTGCAAGCCAACAATTGTACCATTTTGTGTGGTGAAGACTCCTGTGCCAATGCTCAATTGGAACACTCCGTGGTGGGTTGCTACAACCCCGACAACCAATATGCGGACAGTTGTGAGGGAACTGTTTTTTCCCACAGTATTGTGGACCTCCACGGTGCCGAGTGTCAGTCCTGTACATTTTGGTTCTCGGCTGTTACCACCAATGGCCCCTTTTCGGCGTACTCCTTTAGAGCTCCACTCTTTTGGTTTTGTTCCTGTTGCGATGATTTGAACGGAGAGGGAAATTGCCCCGAGGGAGTCCCCAGTTGTGCCCAAGATCCCGTGGCATTTTGTTCCAATCAGCACTACTTTCGCACCTGTCAACAATGGGGAAACCCCATTTGCGATACTGTAGAAATTATGGAATCAACGACGCCAGAATTCCAGGCAGATGCCAGTACTTGCTCGGAAGGAGTGGATACCGTGTGGTGTACCGACGAGCAGACGTGTGACAGCCTTCAAGTGAGCAACTGTACCGTCCTTTGTGGTCAAGAATCCTGTGGTGGAACCAGTGTCTTTGAGCACTCGGTGGTGAGCTGTGTCGTACAAGACGACGTTTACGAGAGCTGCGAGTCTGCGACATTCAATCGCAGTTACGTCGAGTTGCTGGGATCCGAGTGTAGAGAATGCTCCTTTTGGTTCTCCGCCGTTACGACCAATGGCCCTTTTGGAAGTTATTCCTATAGTCGGCCGGAGTTTGGACCCTGCACGTGCTGTGATGATATCGGTGATGATGACCATTGTCCACCCAATGTGCCCAGCTGCCAAGAGGATCCAGTGGCATTTTGTTCTACCGTGGAACTGGGGCGGACCTGTCAGGAATGGGGCAATCCAGTGTGTGCCAATGTAGATATCAGTGAAACTTTACTGCTGGAGGAAGAAGCGGCCAACGTGACAAATGCGACAATCATAACCAACGTGTCTGGTGTTCCGGCACCAATCTGCTCGCTATCCGGAGAGGACGCTGTGGTTGTGTGCTCTGGTTTGGATTGTGCTGGTGGAACGGCCAGCAACTGCACTCTGGAATGCTACGGCGAATCCTGCGGAAACGCCGTCGTAGAAGACTCGGGTGTTGCCTGCTTGGGAGAAGCCACGTGCGCGGGTTCCACCTTTTTTCGCAGTTTCGTGGATTGCACCACATCCGACTGCAAGAATGCCGAATTCTTTAGCTCCTCTCTGCACTGCAATTCCATCGAAGGCGACTCGGATAATTGTGATGGCGTCGTACTCTCGCGCTGCAGTTGTTGCAGTGGGGATAACTGCGTCCCGGGTAGCCTGAGCTGTGATCAGGATGAAGTGACGTTTTGCAACAGTACATATGCGGGACGCACATGTGCGGACTGGAAGCATCCAAAATGTAAAGGTATGGACAGTGCGGACATGGCTACCGTAGTTGTTCTCTTATCCTGTTTCCAATGATGCAGCATGTCTGACATTTTCTATGTTTTTTCTTTTCATCGTGAAGGAATTGAGCTACCGTCTTTACCTCCATTCCGCCCCGCCGAGACGTGCAATCTAAATGAGGAGATTGTCATGTGTGACGATGGTATCAATGGTTGCCTGGGTCTGGACGCAAGGAACTGTACTGTACTCTGTTCGGGTCCTGTTTGCAATCAAGCATCGTTTGAAGACTCCGTTGTGGCTTGCATAGATCTTGCAGAAGCTGGCTGGTTTACCATCTACCCCGGAGAGGCCTGTGTGTCTGCCACCTTCTTCAGGAGCATTGTTACCTGTCAAAACAGCTGTGTGGGCACCTCCTTTGTGGATTCCTACGTCAGTTGCGTTGGACAGGCCGGTTGCCCCGAAACATCTGCGTCCTTCGATGAGTGTAGCTGCTGCGATGGCCTCCAATGTCCATTTGGTGTGCCGGGATGTGAAGGTAACATTGATGCCATTTGTAGCAGAGTTGTGGATGGAGAAAACTGCGCTTGTCGGGGTTTTCCTGCTTGCGAAGAGGAGCACCTGGCAGGCTGTCCTGAATCCGACAGCAGTGTGCAAAAGAAGAACGGCTTGTTCTCGTCCAAGGGTGGGGTTCCTGCATTCTGGCCTTAGATGCTACTATGAAATTCTATGTGATAGCGGTTCCTTTGTGTACGGTAGCCTTCGAAGCATGTGAACACTAGCAAGGTCTGCATAACAAATAAACTGGAAATAGTCGGTGGTCTGGAATCAAGGGAAAATCCAGTTGGTGGTGCATTGCTGCTCGCGGCAAGCCACATCCACAGATGCCTGTCTATACGTACTTAGGAACGGAAGCAGCTATAGCTAGCAAATAATCAATAGCTACTAGTCAGCAGGAAAGAAGGAACATTCAAACGAAAGCAAAAGGGTTCCCTTGCAAATGAAGGAAGACTTTACCAGGTTCATGCAATGCTCCAATTTCAGTGCGTAGAGTTCCTGTAAGCTACAAAGCAGGCAAATGGTGAGCTGTCAATCACAGTTTAGGGTCTTGACCAAAAGTTAAAGATTGCCAAGGTTCTGTTCCCGGGGAAAGGTTGTCATACCTTATTGTCATTAAAAAGAAAAAGACGGGTTCTTTTGCCAGTCCGAAAGAGCTCTGTACGAATTGAACCGAACAAGCTGTTTGAACCAAAGTCAAGCCGCGTCCCATCAACGAGTCCAACTTCTGTGGGAACTGTCCCTGTTAGTGAATTGTTTGTAAACATTAATGAGGAGAGTTTGTTCTTTCCAAACAATTCCACAGGAATACTCCCAGACAGTTGGTTGTGGTAGAGAAACAGCGAAGAAAGGGAAAGGAAGCTACCATATATACTTGGAACCTTGCCTGTCAGTTGGTTCGCATAAAGGTCAAATAAATTCAGTGCTGGAAGACTTGCAAGTTCTGTTGGCAGAGGGCCGTTCAATCCTTTGTTGTCTGATAATGAAAGCAAGCTAAGGATAAGTACATGGATCATGATTGTGAAGAAACAGATTACAAAAGAACTCACAAAGCTGAAACCGAGTAATGTTCTTCTCTCCGTCGTAAGAAACTCCTGCCCATTGACATTCGTGAACGCCCGTGAGCCACCTAGTTGCCAATGATTCTGATCCAAAGACATCTGGAATCCAACATGTTTCATCGTTTGCAGTTGTAGATGGCCCACAATCGGTCCAGTCACTCTCCCGGGATGTTTGAAAGTAAGTCAATATCATGATGAACCTCTGTAGAAGATTGTTGGCATCTGGGTCAAGCTGCAGAGGGTCTTCAAACACAATCCAATCAAGAGCCTTGAACTTTGGCTGGGTGGGCTGTTGCTCATCATTTTTGGGAAAATAGTCAGGCCCAAAAGCCTTTTCGATTCTGTTTTGAATGTCCTCCAAAACAAAATATCGAAAAGAAGTGGGAGCCTGAGTCTCCATATCACCATCTTTGTTACTACAGAGACCAGCCCCACAGATGGAACCAACAATCGCTCGGATGATGAGAAGGCTTCCAATGAGCACAAGGATCATGAGAGTCATTGAAATTGATCTGTTTTTCCCGTGCAAATGGTCGGGTCTAGCAATCTGTGTAGGTTCTTCATTTTCTTCAACCTGGTTTGCCACTGCCAATCCACTATTGTTGCTTGTGGGAGTGGTGGCTTGGTCATCTGTGGTACTTTGATTCCTTGCGTTCGTGCTTGACGGAAGCCCCTCAACATGAGAAGAAGAAGTAGCCCCCCCCCCTACAAATGAAGGCATGAATGTTGCGGTTCTCTGGGGATCAGTCCCGGGGGCCACTGTAAATGCTCCTGGATTCATGGTAGCCGTATCTGACAGATTTTGCCCACTAGGCAAGCTTGGTTGCGGAAAAGCAGCAAGCTCGTCCTCTAGACCAGTTTCCTCTTTTGCGGACTTGTCGTCTGTTGTGCTGGGATTGTCATCTGGACCTGACGGAGTTTTGCTCGTAAGATGAATGTTTGTTTGCTCTTGTACTTCCTTGTACTGCCTTCAACACCAAAAACGTTATCTTCCTTTTCTTCGTCTTTTCTGGTTTCCTCTCCCGTGGGGTTGTTGTCTTTTGTGCTGGGATGGTCCTCTAGACCAGCTGCTGCTGACAGAGTGTTGCCGGCATCTTGAGGATGACTCATGACTCTATATTTGATCTTGTACTTCCTTCAAATTAAAGGCATTATCTCCCTTTTCTACTTCTTCTTTGGTTTGTTGTCCAGTGGATTTGTGGCCTGTTGTGTTCGGATGCTGCTGCGACGACTGGAATGACCTCCCCATTTCCTCTCTCGTCGCTAGCTCATCTTCTCTCTGTTGCACCTCCAATTCAAACAGCTTTCTGAGCTCCACCTCTTCATTGCCCCCCTGGCTTCTGGCGGCCACAGTATTCATCCGAGTCACCTCTTCCTCGTCATCTATTTGGCTGGACGTTCCATTTTTGCCCATCCTCTGTTGTGGAAGTTGAAAGTTACTATGGGTTAGAGGGAGCTAGAATGAAGGTGAAAAAGGGCAAAAGTGGTAGAAGGCACTAATGTGATTGGCTAATGAACCTATGACATCAGCAAATACATCAGCAATATTTAACGTACCAATTATAAATATTTACAGGGCAAGTGAGGTATTTTCTTCTTTCGCAAAAACCGAAAGAAGGATTCCTTCCGTCGCGATCGACAATGGCACTCGACAATGGCACTCGGCAGCCACTTGACAGTCATTAAGCAGCAGAAGAGAGCACCATGGAGCCACCAACAGCAGCAGCAGCAGCAACAACAACACAAAATGAAGGGATGGGCTGCCAAAGTCAGAATAGGAATTCCTAGCAGAAGAGAGCATATCAACTCGCCTCCAACAACAACAACAACAACAACAACAGATCCAAGAGAGCCAGAGAAGAAGGACCCCAAACAACACTGGGAGGAGAGGTAGCAGAAGTCTTCGATCCATTGAAGAAGTGTATCATCTGTAAGGCCAAGCATCTTGGTCTCAGAGTCCCAAAAAGATCACACCACGTTCTCTGTATTAAGAATACAGTAACAAGAGGAAGAGGACATTTGAATGAGCTGACAATGGAAACCACCAAAGAGAGCAGAAGACTTACAAGGCATTTCAGTGCTCCTCTTCCACTGAATGAGAGAGGAGCTGGAAGCACTCAACAAAGGAGAATGGAGATGCCTTCTTCTTTGCTGCTAGCACAAACACAGCCAAACCAAATCAGAGCCGACAACAGAAGACATCCAGAACCAACACCTCTCCAATGGCTCTTTGTCAAAAGGTCACTACTCTTGTGCAGGATACTGCCTTTGTCGAAAAGCACAAGACAAAAGGAGCATCACTGGCAATGCTAGCAATGGCAGAAGCAGTGTCAGAATCCATTATCCGGCCAAGGAATCCACAACTCTTCCACCAACATTTTGAAGGACTTACCATGACAGTTCCATCCACAAAGGAGCAATTCAAATCTCCCCACTATCTCTCAATTGTTGGCCAGAAACTACTCCTGGTGGACTGGAATAGGTGTGGTATTGCTGTGTCTTGTCTTGATGGTAGATGCTCTGGCCAACTCAAGAATGAGAGGCATAACTGGTCAAAGAATAAGACCTTGTTCCCTATCTTTGGCATCACTGGAGCTCCATCTTGGTGCATTGGCTGTCATGTCAATGAAGTGTGACTGCTGCAACAGGATATTCAATGCCAACAGTGCCGAAGTCTTGTGCACAATTCCACAGTATGCTGCTCTCCTCTATCCTGTGGAGTCAAAGTATGCTCTACCAAACAAGGCATGTCACTTGGAGAAAACTGCCACTGAGACTTTCGAATCCATCATGTTGACCTATGGCAATGGTGAACTCTGCAGCCGGCTCATCTACAATGCAATCAACAGAGACTTCATTAGAGCCAGCATGTCATACTTCTCCTATTGGGAAGGAAGTCAAACAGATCCAGATCACTTTCTTCAAAAGGATGGCACTTACATAAGACAATTTCCTCCTCTTGGTGACACCATCCGTGACATGTATGATGCTGCTTGTGCTTCAAAGAGGAATCCATGGAGAATCAGTGACAACCAAAGGCACACTGAAACAGAATCAACCACCGCGGGCAACAAACTCTTACATTCGACCCCAATACAAACCAACTGAGGATCTCCACCAACCCAATCACCCCAACAAACCAAACACCAACCACTCCAGTCACCAACACAACCAACGTCGAGAGCTTCGGAGACAAAGCAACAGCAAAAGCACCACGACACATCAGAATCCTTTTCCAGAACATTGACAACCTCCCCAAACATGAATGGCAAGACAAGAGCAACGACTTGCAGAAGCTGCGAAACTACTCGACCAGATGTGATGGGATGCGTCGAAGTTGCCTCTACCCACCACAACAATCCCAACAGGACAGCTGTACAACCGCTTAAGGAAGAAACTCAGAGCATCCGCACCAGCTACACCTACAACTCCACAGAAACCCATGAGACTGCATTCCTCCCTGGCGGCATCGGTATGGCAAACAACACTGGAAGCCTCCTGTCGAATGAAAACGTCGGATCATGACCCAAGCGGCTTGGGACGATGGACTTCCATTATGATGCAAGGACGCAAGGACCACAAGCTCGTGTGGTCACGGCCTACAACCCATCAAAGGCAGAGGCAAGATACGGTGTTTCAACAAACTCCGATACTGGCCAGAAACGATGAGAGCAAAACACCAGATGTAAAATTCCAGGACGACCTGATCAGTGCATTGCAGTCCTGATGGAGAACGCGAGCAACATTGTCTTGATGGATAGTGCAACCAGGACGTTAGAGACGGGAAGCTAGCAAAGCACTTGCCGCCATTGTTTACCCGAGGCAATCCTATCATCCCACCCAGACCACCCAGTCCCTGCCACCCACCAACGAAACCACAAGAATATCCCGACGACGGCATGTTCACCACAACTGGACCCCTCTGCACTTACCTCTGGCTACCTAGGATTTGAGGCGGGTCTACCCGGGACCATCGACTGGCGTGATGGACATCCCCTTCACAGAAGCCTTTGGAAACAACCCGCCCAACCTCCACTCCCCAGACAGGTGGTACTGAATGTGAACGACCCAGGCAGGTCCAGGAGTACACCAAGTCCGTCAAAGCCAGCTACAAAACAGACGAAGTTGAGGGAGAAGATTGACACCCTCACCACCATGATGCAGAACAAACAGTGATTGCGGGCCATCAAACGCATGTTCCACTGCATTGCCATGAGCAACCGAAAGATCCGCAAACAATCAAAGAAAGAGATGAACTGGCAAGAAAGGGGTCCCATGGTCCCAGAAGTACAGGGGTCATGGATCGCAGAAAACTCTGGGCATCGTAATCAAGCTCAAGATCAACCTGAAAGTGAGCAAGAAGAGGAATCAAGCGCCTCATGCGCAAATGTTCCACTCTGACGCCTGGGAAGGACTTAGAAACAGCGAGGAGCCGCTTTGGAAGGCCAAGAAGGAGTGGTGGAACAATGAAGAAAACGCCCACAACTAAGGCGAGACTTTCTCACAAACTGGCAGAGGCAAGGGCAGCCGCGTATGGCACCACAGCGGCGTCAGAACTGAAAACAATGCGCCACAGGGAGAAGCAGAAGGAAGACGCACGCAGGAGGAGAACAATTTCGAAGAAAGGAGCAGATAAAGAAAGAACGACGAAACTATTCTACACCGATCACGACTTGGCTACAGGTACAGTCAGGTAGTTGAATGCGCGCCCAAGTTGACATGGATGCGGCTCAATCCGTGAAGGAGAGACACGCATGTCCCGGTGCCTCCAGTCACCATTCACCCAGCCCCATTGGACCAAGACTTTGGAACCTCGCAGACACTGAAGCAGCTCAGGCGGTCTTGGATGGCTCCTATGAACCACCAGAGGGCACCGACAAGTACACCCGGATGCTGATCAATGCCTTCTGAGATCTCCCAAAGTGACAGAACTACCGATGAACACATGCAATGGACACCCGCCCTGCGATGGCAGCCTGGAAGAAGCAAAGATCACCACGCCTCGAGCCCTCTGGATTGACCTTTGACCATCTGATCATGGGAGCAATGGACAGCGAGATTGCCATGGTCGACACCGTACTCCACAACGTCCCTTTCCTCCTCGGCTTTGCACCAGAATCCCAACTCGTCACGACGGACCTCGCAATCCTGAAGAAACCGGATGCTATAAGCTGAAAAGATGAGGTTCATCTCTCCTGCTCGACACCTACTTTAATATGAATTGCAAGAGACTGGGACGCATCATTATGCAGCAGGCTGACAGGTTGAGGGTGATATCAGAAGAACAATACGGAACCGCAAAGGCAGACACTGCATTGATCATGGCCTGAACCAGTGCTCCTCGTTGACATCTCCAGGATGAAAAGATGGGCGATGGCACTCATACCGTTCGATGCATCACAATGCTATGATCGATCAACCACGTGCCAGCAATCCTGGCTGCCGGGCCATTGGAATCCCTCAGACTACAACACAGTACAGATTTGGCACCTACCAAGAAACAACCACCACCACGCTTCCACACCTAGGCATCTCCAAGCAAACCTACGAGGCCCCCACGAGCAGCCCTTGGCCAGAAGCCACTTGGAGACAGGGACAGGGTACAGGTGATGCTGGAAGTTGGGCAGTGCTGATTTTTGCCTTTATGGTGAACATCATTCGCACCCCCGGCCTCTCGTTGGCCCTGACCAGCCCCTTCCACAGGCAGCTGATCTCTCTGATAGCACTGATTATTCATTGACGATTAACCAGCCAACATCGGCGCCACCACACAGTATATGACTGGCAGAACTCGTACCCAGGGCCCAACAGGAGCAGACATGTGGGAAGGATCTATGGTCAACTGGGGGAGCCATCAACCAGGCAAATCCTACTGGTACCTCCTCGACTACAAATGGAACCCAGCAGCCGCCAAGTGGTTCTACCGTCCCATAGGAGACATGCCAGGCGACCTCATGGTGAGAGACACTGACGGTGTGCGCAAACCCTTACCCAGAAAGGAACCAGGTGAAGCAGAGAAATGGCTGGGCTTCCTCCCTGCCCCCAATGGCTCCTCCAAGCCACAGATAGCATACCTGACTGAGAAGGTGAAGGCATTCTGCAACAAGATTCGTGGTTGTGGTCAAGCAGAAAAGAACGATGTCTGGATCACCACCACCACCAACTATCTGAAGACTCTGGACTACCCGATGCGGGCCATTCGATTGACCCACTCAGAGTGGGACAAGATGATGACCCCACTTTGGTCCACAGTTCTCCCCCGCGCAGGCTTCTCCACCAACTTTCCACGGAAGGTGTTGTACGGCCCCACCGAGTTCCAAGGAATGGGCATCATCGACCCTTGGCTGAGGCAAGAGCTAGAACACATCGGCACTTACTGGGACAAACTCACGCGATTGGACACCCCAGGCCAGA